CTGCTCCGTCTTTGTTCCGCGGCAGCTCTGGGCCGATGGCGCTGAGCTACGCAGCTACAACGTAACCAGGTTTAAAGCTTTGTCCCTGAGCCGGCGGGCCCCGGTGCGGTGACCGGGCCCGAGCAGCGCCCGCCGCTGCTGGCGGGGCGGGGCCGCCGCTTCTCCGCGCCCGCGGCGGAGCCGAGCCGGCCCCGGGCGAGCGGCGGGGGCGGAGCCGGCGGGACCTGCCCGGTGCTCGACTCGGCTCGGCCCTGCCCGGTGCTCGGCTCGGTGCTTGACTCGGCTCGGCTCGGCTCGGCTCGGCTCGGCTCGGCTCGGCTCGGGCCGCCCCACCCCGCGGGCGGTCACTGCGGCGCAGTCGCGGCGCCGCCATCGCGGGCAGATGCAGGCGATCAAGTGTGTGGTGGTGGGCGACGGGTGAGTGCGGGAGGGGCCGCGCCCCGGCCCCGCAGCTCCGCACCGGGCGGGCCCGGCGGCGCCGAGGGGACGAGGGAGGGAGGGCTGGCCCGGGGCAGCGCCCGGCAGAGCCGCTCCGCCGGCGGGAGGCCCCGCGCCGGGCGGCGAGGCTCGCTCCGGCCTGGCTCCGCCGGGGCCTGGCTCGGGTGGGGCCGGCGGGAGAGGGGCTGCCGGCGAGTCCCGGCGGGAGCGGGGGGCCTTGCGGCGGCCCCGCAACCCTGCCCTGCTCCTGTCGTAGTTCGTGAACTTGGGGGCTGCCTGGGTAGCAAACACAGGTTCCTCCTGGGTTTTACGTTTGTCTCCTTGTTTCGGCGTTTTGGGTGCCGGTATTTTGCTATTTTTCATTGTACCTGCTTGATTCCTGACAGAGTCCTCCGAAAATCTTGATGCTCGCAGGTCTCGTATGTCCTATTGTTGATTGTTCCGAGGTGAAATGCATTACTCTTTCTAGTTTCACCATGTGCTCCTTGTCACCCTTTTTGCTTTTTTTGTTAAGGCTCTTCCTAAATGCCTTCTTTTTTGGGAACACATCTGCCTGGAAGATGCAGGCATGCACTAGATTTATACTGCTTTGTAACTTTCCTAGTTCGTCCTGCATATTTTTCCTCACAATTCCAGTTTACTTTTCTGATCACCTCAGCAAGAACAGAGCTGAGGTACTCAGACCTAACTGTGAACTGGTCTTAGGCAGGGACTAGACTTACCCTTTCTCGTGCATGCCATCCCCTCAAATACACATTTGTGGTGAGGCCTTCCAGGTTCCAGCCTGTGAGGGCTAAAAGGGAGTAGGAGAAAGTACAGCCTTATTGCAGAGGGGAGAGTGACTGGGAGCTCAGGATGTTGCAAATGGAGTTCAACTGAAGGTTTGCTGTCCTGTGTTTTGCCTTAAAAGTAAATCAGTAGTGCAGACTGAAAGAAACACATAGATACACAGGTTTTTGTGAATTACAAGTGTCCCTGTTTGGTGGGAAACTGAAGTCACACTTCAGGAGGAAAGTTGGACCAGTCAGCCTAGTGGTTCATGACAAAACTTCTTTCTTCTCAGACCGAGGGGACCTAATCCAAAGGAAAAGTTATAATAGTGGTTTGTTCTCCCTGTGCTTTCTGTCATGCTGGTGTGTGCAGGGGACTGTCAACTCTCTTCCTCTCTTCTGACACCCTCTCTTACATCAGTCTGGCTGCAGAATTGGGTAGGGGATACCCATTTCTGCTAGCTATTCAGCTTCACCCAGGCACCTCAAAGCCAGCTTTCCCTGGCACTGGCACTCACAGTCTTTTTCTGGAAGGTTGTCTGCAGTTCACAGCTTTCTCCATGATACAAAGGTAGCTCACACTGCTGGTTCTCCTCTGTTCCTACAGTGAAACTTAGGAAATCTGCAGAGCTGGTTAAAGGCTGTGTGCTCACTCTTTTGCTGGCCTGGCCCTTGCCAGCTGCCACTGCTGGGCTGACCAATCTCACCAACCTTCAACCAAGCAAAGTCCTGAGCTGGTATTTTTATCCTTTTTCACTAATCTTTTCCAAACTGCCTGCAGTCAATTTTAAAGTCCATTTTTGTTTATGGATACTTACTTTTTCTCCTTTGTATTTATTTATTCCTGTATCTGAGGAGCTTGCAGATCTGCATTGTTGCATGTTTTTAACCTCACTGTTTATCCATTTTGCTGAATTACTGTGTATCTGTTGAGCCCTCTTGGTTCATGAAACCAGTATTATTTTGACTGATGTTTTGTTGAATGGGTAGGGAAAAGGAGTGGTAGAGAGCAGGGTTAGGAAGCAATCAGGCAAGGTGCACCTTTTGAGTTCAGGCCATGTCTGTGACAACTGGGGGATTCCAGCCTGCAACAGGTTTGTTTTCCTCATATGGTAGCTTTTTACCTACTATGTGTTTTCAGTGTGGGAAGGGTGAGTTTTACTGCCTTAGTGCTCCATGTTGTACCCTTCTTTATGCTTGTCACTCTTACCCTCTGCAGAGCTGTAGGGAAGACCTGCTTGCTGATCAGTTACACCACAAATGCCTTTCCTGGAGAATACATTCCCACCGTGTAAGTAACGCCTTGGGCTTCAGTTGCTTTTTGATCTCTATGCTTGTGTGTGTAGAAGTTTGGTTTGTGTGTGAGGAGGTGGCTGTTGCAAATCAGACTGTGAACTTGACAGGTAAGGATGATGCTGTGGCTGTGTGTGTGAGGAAGGCAGATTGTCCCCACTGGAACTGTGCTGCAGTATCCTTTCCTGATTCACTGCCCCTTTGAATTCTGTATAAAGATGTGAAGGTCACCACAAAATTGTCACTGATGGGGACTCCTCATTGGCAGGTTTGATAATTATTCTGCCAATGTGATGGTAGATGGAAAGCCAGTGAACCTGGGCCTCTGGGACACAGCAGGGCAAGAAGACTATGACCGACTGCGGCCTCTTTCCTATCCACAGACGGTGAGTGCTGAGCTTGGACTGCCTTGGGACTGCTCCCTCTCAGGGACAGGGAGGCTCCCAAGGACAGGCATGCTTCTTTCCCTGGAGGAAGGTCTGAGTTCCTGCAGCTACACCCATAATTCTGGTTGTTTAAGAAGCATCACAGCTGATTTTCTCCTAAGACATTGTCCTGTTCTAGTCTCTTCTTTGTAATGACCTTTGAAGAGTTACGGGTACCCCAGGGAGGCTCAAGTAGAAGGAATGCTGTAAGGCTGCTGTGCAGCCTAGCCAGTTCCATATTCCTGTTCTCTCTCAGCAGGGCAGATCCCCGTTGGGCTGCCCTAGGAGTGTTTCTGGGTGTAGCAGTTCCTAAGCAGCTGTGCTGCTGGTGAAGCCCTTAGTGCTGTTAAGATGTTTGAGGCCTCAGGCTCTTAACATGCAGAGCCCAGCGCTGTGAAAGAAGATGTAATCATACACACTCATGGTCCATTTCTTCCCTCTCTGAATTAGTTTAACACCCTTAATGGGGAAGAATTTCTTAAGGCCACAGCAGCCCTTGCTTGTGGGTTGAGGTTGTCCTTTGTCAGGCTCCCTCTGCAGCCTCCCTTCACTCTAGCTGCTTCTGTCTGCACAGCTGACCCTCTTCTTTCTGCACAGGATGTTTTCTTGATCTGCTTCTCCCTTGTGAGTCCAGCCTCCTTTGAGAATGTCCGAGCTAAGGTAAAGTATTCTCCTCCTGGGTAAAACAGTAGAAGGGAAGAAGCAGTGACATTCCCTGCCCTACCCAGCACCACACCTACAAGCCCAAAACTTCAAGCAGTAATGTTTTGGTGAGGGAAAATCATAGTCTGCAGGTTTTAAGTGGAGCCTGCTTTTTATTAATGATTTCTTTGGCTAAGTTATTACCTTTCTGAATCTGTGTTTTAAGATAAGGGATGTCTTAGAAGCTAACATGCAGTTAAGGAAAGCACTGTGCACAGTGTTGGCTGGCAGTGTCTGTCAGGATTCTGTGTCTTGGTGCCTTCATTATTACATCTGCACCAGTCTCTTTTTGCAGAGCAGCTCAGAACTGTAGGAGCAGTATCCTGTTCAGGTGTTGCCACCATGTCAGTAGTGAACCTCTTCATTCCCAATAGTAGAAATGCATCCTTGTGGTTATGGCCACTCATAGAACTACTTTTCTCATCATACCTCTCTGTTTCAGTGGTACCCCGAGGTCCGACACCATTGCCCAAATACGCCTATTATCCTGGTGGGCACCAAGCTGGACTTGAGGGATGATAAGGACACCATTGAAAGGTTACGTGATAAGAAACTGGCCCCCATCACCTATCCCCAAGGCTTGGCCATGGCTCGGGAGATCGGTGAGTCTCGTGAGCAGGCAGTGAGTGGGTGAGCAACAGTGCGTGGTGGTGGAACTGGAGTGGTTGAGCTGCAGCTCTCTTTCCCCAGGGTCAGTAAAGTACCTCGAATGCTCTGCCCTGACGCAGCGGGGCTTGAAGACGGTGTTTGATGAAGCCATCCGGGCTGTGCTCTGCCCACCGCCCGTGAAGAAGCCTGGCAAAAAGTGTACCATGTTTTGAGGGCTGTGGCCTTGGTCTTGGCTCAGCATGCTGTCATCCTCTGACAGATTGCATATTAAGCTGGGTGTTTCTGAAGGGGGCTGGGATGTGTAGGGCCCTTCATCATGTACGAAGTCAGTGTTTTTTAAATGTCTCTTTGATTTAACGTCAGTGTTGATGTGAAGGGGCAGTGGGGACAGGAGACCAGCTGGGGACTATACAGCCCCCAGGGGAGGTACAGCGGGGAAGGCAAGGTAGCTCCTTCAGGCAACAAGCTGTTTTGGCTCTCCTGAACTCCAAGTGGAAAGGGCTGAGACATCCATCCTGTTCTGGAAACACCTGTTTTCAACCTGCAGGTGAAACAGGTGGTGAACATCCTGGTGGGAGTGGGGAGGGAGCTGATTTCAATGGTGCTGAAAGACAGGAGTGGCTGGGAGGATGGCAGGGTCTCCTTGCCCAGCCTGCTGTGGCTAACAGTTAACAAACTGGTGCTCTAGCAGAATGTTTCTAAGACTGTTAAAGAAATCATAACCAGCCCTGGAAGGGGTCAAAGTAAATGAGAAGCTGAAAAATGAATCATTAGGTGCTTTATTGGGTACTAGCCAAACTCTGTGAGTGAAACAGCTCTGTGCAATCAATGCATTTGCCTTTTTGTGTGTGCACACCCTAGGACAGCATGGTGCTGCTCCCCCCCATTAGTCTTTAGCAGGGCCTCCCCCCAAAATCCAGTCTCTGCAGAGCAGGGCTGGGGTTGTTGCCTCTATTTTGTTTTTTTTTCTACTAAAGACAACAAAGGAAGCAGTGAGGAGTCTGCTAACTTCTTTCCCTTCCCACTGAAAATGCAGACAGACTCTGGATTTGGATGGAACAGGGAGAGCTTCTGAAGGGTTGTGGGGGGGGGGAACAGGGTTGGAAGAGAGGTCCAATTTCTAATCATCATGTAGAGTGACAAGATAAAACCTTATTTGGTGCAATAAACATTCTCCATGAAGGTGTATGTGAGCTTTATTATATAGCAGCCTTGCAAAGCTGATTTTCTGCCTCACTTCTAATAGTCTTCAGCCCTGCTGCCCCTTCAGCAAGAAGTGAGTCATTGTTTCCTATCCAGTTTACATCTAGGCAGTATTCCTATGAAAATTGAGGCCAGGTGTGAAATGCAGGTGTCATCTTAGGAGACAAGAAAGCCCCCATCAATCATCAGTGAGCTGCCAGTTGTCATAGCACTCTTGTCACTCAGCAGGAAGAGAATGCTGTTCACCACATCATCCACCTCTGCAATCAAACACAGAGAACATTTGATGCCCACCTAAAGTGTATCAGAAAAAGAAGCACTTAAAAAGGTCTGCCTTTGACATCTACAGGTAATTAGAGCTGGAAAATGTTTCTGCCTTCTGCCAAACTGTGCTTGGTTAAGTGTCTGGGACAGTGTGGCTGAGAGCTGGACATCAAAGTGTCCTTGTGATCAAATGGTGCTTAGGTGACAGCAAACACCCTGTCAGGTTTATGAACAATAGAGCAAGTTCATTTCACTTGTCCCAGGATGAGGAGGCTGTCGAAAAAGCGAGAGGAGGGTTGATTCTCACCCTGTCCTGATCAAATACTGCAGGAATTCAGCCAAAAGACATTCAGCAGAGCTGTCACTTTGCCCAAAAATCAGCAACTTCTGGCTGTGGTGTCAGTGAGAAGGCAGGCTGGGAGACCATTGCCTGGGGACAAACATACATCACTGACCTGCAAACTTTCCCAGGGGAATCCGATTAATCATGGCAGCAGATTTCTGAGGGTCACTCCAGTTAATTCTCCCCATGTCAGTCATAACCACGGTGGGGTTCACAGTGTTCACCCTAATCTGGGAGCAGGAACAACAAACAATCTCAGCCAGCTGCTGTGCTTGTACTCAGGTTCAGCTTTCACACTTTTCTCTCACAGACTCCTACCTTGTGGGGTCCCAGTTCCATTGCCATTACTTTGCTCAGCATATCCAGAGCACTTTTTGTGGAACCTTTACGAGAAGGGAAGAAGAGGAGATGTTTAACTGCACAGCACCTGGTCTGGAGGTGCTATGGAACTGCTGCCCAGAACTGGCAGCTTGCTGACTGTGGGTGTCCAGCTGGTCAAAGCTGAGAGGGGCACTGCTAAAGCTGCACACGCTTACAGTAAACAGCATGATCCCTCAGTGCACGCTTCGATGCCTGGCTGGAGACATTCACAATGGCCCCTGGCACGCCTTGTGCAATCATCTGCCGAGCAACTATCTGGGAGGGAAAGGAGAAAAAATAAAATAATGCCAGAATCCTAACAAGAGAAATCATTATTTCACTCCATAGGAATCTTGCTGGGCTATTATGGTAGACCAAAGAACAAAAACATCTGGAGGAACCAAGCCCTCACTGCCTCCTGCTTACAAGAGAGTCAAAGCAAGAGTGTGAAGGGACTGTACATGTAGTTTCTTGGATTGACTTTGGACTGCAGTCCTTTCAGGCCCCACAGTGGACACATACCCCTCTATGTACAACAGTTTAATCACTGCTATTCATGGAGGCAGCTGCAGTGACAGTTCTTCCTCACCTGGGAAACATGAAGCACAGCCCCAAAATTCACATCAAGAGACCTACAAATAAATCAAATTTAAGTTACCAAGTGGTTGTAGCCCAGCCCAGGGAGCTGTTTTGGGAGGCAGCAGAGGACAAGTGCTGCTGCTCTGTTGGAAACACTGGTGATACTCCAGGACATGGACAGAGATGCCAAGTTGTCAGGAGAGCCAGAATGGTCAGGTGGGATCTCAGCAATGAACCAGAACTATCCATTGGCTGCAAGCCTGTCAGTGTGTGAGGAGGTGCATGCATGCATCAGGTGCATTTTGTACAGGACTCTGCTCTTCTGCAGTGTAATGGAATTCCTCTGTCAAAGTTTAAACAGAGCCCTGGGCTTCAGCCAGGGCAGATGACTCTTAGGTCAAGCAAACCCTTCACACAGATTTACAAAGCAAAACTTGCTGGAAGGTGGGTAGAGGCAGCATTTCTTCTGTTTGCCACATCAGAAGATTCCTTAGGCTTCCACCTGCCAGTTCTGCAAAATGATCTTAGTAGAATCCATACATTTGACGTTCTAGTCACAAATCTATATTGTAGATTCTCAACAACCATTTTTAACACAGGGACACAGCATGACTCATTTTCTCAGAAGGATGTGGTCAAGATAGCCTGTATCCTAAAGTGTACTCACAACAAAACTATGGACCTTTTCAGAGAATAAAGAAGTCGTGTTATTGTAGTTAACAAATTTAATTTCCCACCCTGACCATTTTTTGCTTCCTTACCTGGCTTTATTGTCTCTATTTCTGAATTGTCTTAGCAACAACTGCCTTTCAATTTAACCAAGCTGGAACTAGACTGGAAGCTCTGAGCCTGATGAGCAGAAAGGCACTCTCCTGCCATGCCAGCGGGATGGCAGGTGCACCCACCGTTCTGGAGGTGACACTGCAGGTTCTGGCTACTTAGAAATGGATGTAAGAGCCAGTGCTTTGTTTCCTTTTGCTGTTTAAGGGGTGAAAGGTGATGATGTAAAGAATGAAAAGACAGTAAAGAAAAAGAACATACGCAGTAACAGTCCACCACTGGGCATTGCTAAAAGTGTGTATGTCAGCCTGTCCAGTGTGTCTATACACCAGCTGCTGACTTTGTTCTTTCCAGCTGCTTCCCCTCTAGTGCCACCCTTTTCTGGAAAGCTCTGCCGCCGTTTTTGACGTTCAGAGCTTGGTGAGACCTCGGCGGGCATCGGCCCCAGAGCTCCCCGTGGAGCTGCGGTGCCGTGCGGGCCGGGCCCGGGAACTCACCGCTGCAGGGCCGAGCGCGTCACCTGCAGGAACGGCTGCAGCTCCGCCACGGCCGCGTTGTTCACCAGCAGCTCGAACGGCCCCGCCGCGCCCAGCGCCGCCTCCACAGCCTCCCAGTCCGCCAGGTCCACGCACAGGGTCTCGATGCCCGGGCACTGCGGCGAGGGCGGCCGCGGTGGGCGGGGGTCGGTGCGGGGTTACGGGGGCGGGAGGGGGCAGGAGGAGGGGGCCGGTACCGGTACCTCCCGCGCCAGGCTCTCCAGGTCCGCCGCCGTTCGGCTCAGCGCGGTCACGCGGGCCCCGGCCCTGCCCAGAGCCACGGCCACGGCGCGGCCGATCCCTGCGGGGACACGGTGTCAGACCGGCCCGGCCACGGCCACGGCGCGGCCGATCCCTGCGGGGACACGGTGTCAGACCGGCCCGGCCCGACCCCCGCCCCAGCCCTCCGCCCGCGGGCACCTTTGCCGGCCCCGGTCACCAAGGCCCGGCGGCCGCGGAAGCTGAGCTGCTGCTCCATGTCTCGGCCGGACTGTGGCCGGGGCGGGCCCGGGGCCGGGGCGGGCCGGGAGCGGGGCGGGCCCAGCCGCCCGGGCCGTCTTTCCCCGCCTCCGCCGAGGGAGCGAAGCTGGCTCCGGGCTCATCCAACGAGACCGGCAGAAGTGAAGGTTCGTGGCTCTTACTCGTGATTGAAGTATCATTTTAGCGACCATAGAAAACCAGGCTTTTTAGAGTCTGATGAAAAAATCCTGCAGCTCTACCCCCTCGAAGTTGCTGCTGAAGATGACAAAATCCTTATTATCTCAATTCTTTGATCGTACTGTTAAGAAGCAGCTGCAAGGATTCTTCTCATCCACCTCTGTTCTCCACATCCCAGTCATTGAGCTTACTTGTTTTTTGGCCCTTGGCATCACATAAGCCTGACAGGAGGGCATAGTTTTCTGAATTAGTGGGTTTATGTTCCATTTTTGATACAGAGCATATGTGAAGAAATATGACAAAACACAGCCTTTGACATATTTAAATATTTATTTTATAGAATCACTTTATGTATGAAAAAGTAGTTTGATAAAAAAGCTGCATCCTGATAGACCCACACAGCTTAATGCATTCTCAACACAAGAAACCTTGGAACAAGCCTGAACACACTGAAGTTTCCTGTTGCCCTGCAGGAGAACATGGTCCTTTTTAAGTTCCATAAACACCCTCCCAGCTTTGAGGGCACTTGCCTCTTTGGCATACCTAGTGTGACCAGTGACCGGTGTGAAACTTCTACCGTTTAGTTTTCCTGCCATGAATATAAAGCGTTGTGGTTTTTTAAACTGCAGTTTGCCACAATTGCTGCCCAGTCCTTGCTTGGTCTCTGTTGTCTTACAAAAGGGTGCTTCCAGTGGAAGGGGAAGAAGATTTCCAAGAGGAGAGTTCAGAAGCAGTGCTTGAAGACAAAATCACCTCAAGAGATCATGAAGTTTCACAGCTTTCTGCTACAGGACTTTAAAACCATATTAAAAAATATATGGATACCAGGAATCTCCAGAACTATTAATGACAAAATAATTAAACCACAGGATGCCTCAATTCTAGATAGCAGAAGATCTAATAAAGAGGTAGAACCTACTATGCCACAAATCCTCCTCTGTTTTCTGTGACAGGCACACCTGTAACACTGACAGCCCATTATGGAACAGCCAGTGTGCTAGCTGGGCTTTGATCCAGCTCCCTGCAGCTTTCTCATTTCCATACCTCATGTGTACCTTAGTACACATGATAGAAAGGAGAAATACAAGAATGAGCTGCAGGACTGTACTAAGTAGCCGTCAGCTTGCTTGTTCCTCAGTAGAACTACCTAAATTCATGCAAAGAGGACAATGTACTGAGGTAAACACTGAAAGGTTTGTTAAAATGCAGGGAACATGGTATATTTGAGGAGGCTGACCCCTGTGCTAAGTGGCACACTTTAATACACTACAGGCATTTGCCAGGAAGTTAAATAACTAGGTGAACCCCACAGTACAGCTGAGTGCAGCCACTTAGAAACCTGAAACCTCTGCTAGATCCACAATCAAGCCAATAATCACAGCTCCAGATCATACAATAGCATTCTATGATTCTTCCCTTAATTTGGCCTCAAACTCTAGCACTAAACGAGCAAGCATTTTTTATAAGAGTAAACAGTGATTTTGCAAAGGAATATTTTTGTAGTGTATTCTTCAGGTCAGGCAGGGTTTGCGCATGACCGAAGTCTGGGCCAACAAAAAAGTAAACATATGGAGCCCCATTCCTTCCACTTTAAAAATTAAGTTTGCTTTCTTTAAAAAGCAGCAGCAGATGATACTGCTAGAGCACTGAACTTCTGCTTGTAAATGTGCAATCCCCTTTTAGTGACTGCATGAACTACTTGTTGAATTATTAAGGAGTAAAAACAAGCACTGATCTTGGCTTTATGGTAATTAAAAGATTATCTGAAGAAGCTGGAGTAACCATGGTCATACAATTAAAAGTCCTCAAATGATACCATCAAAACTCTCCTTGGTGCATTGCAGCTATCTATCATTTCTCCCCTCGCACACTGCTTCAGAAACAGGGCGTGTTTTGCCAGCACAAGCTTCCCCAGCTCATGTGACCAACTACCAGCCAAGTGGGAGGAACAATTACCATCTTGTCAGGCAAATATTTTTTCAATATCAAATATCAAGGGAATAGATCATAATCATCAACCATTGCAATTCAGTTGGCATGCGAGCCAGGTCTGACAATTACCTCCACAGGAGGTACACATGGATGACAGGGGAGAATGTACATTGTAAGCAACTCATCTAGTCTTGAGTAAGCTTACCCTCACACAGGGTTTTCTCATGACAAAGGCTTTCAGCCTTGTTTACCCTAGTGATTCCAGGATTTCTGTATTCTAGCCAGCTGCAGTTTTAATCTGTCAGGCCACAGAAGCTCTTAAATAATTCTGCTCCCAAGAAAGATGAGTGAAAACTTCCCCTCTCTTGTCACCATGGGGACTACAGTCTGCTCTAGCACTCCAGCTTCAACACAGTGGCTTCTAATAACCCCTAAGGGTAGTAAAAACACTGTCACTCCCAGTACTGCATTTGCCTCAGATGTGCCCAAGCACAGGTTCACATGACATCAAATGAAAGTATAAAGTGACTCATACACACAGGACTGTGGTCATCTTATGAAGAGCCACTAGACAAAAGAACAAAGATTCTTCTTGGAATGTCCCAGGCTGCAGCTGAACAAACCATACCTTATTGCTTTTCTAAACAGAGTCTGTCTACCTCCTTTGTAGATACCCCTGGCTGTCTCCCAGAAGAAGAATAAAACCACCAAAAAACCCCGCAACTCCTGCCTTATGCAAACTAGCTAAGACACAGGTGTCAGTGGCTCATCAAGAATTATGACATCTTCTTAGCAGGGCACCAGATAGTGTCAGGGTAAAGCAGACAATGGACAGATTTAAATCTATATTAAAAAAAAAAGAAGAAAAGACAGCATTAGATTGGAATTCTCCATACATGGAACATACTAGCATTGAATGTGCAGCAGGCTGATGGAGCAGGGGGTGCGTCTACCTGCTTTGGCACAGTAACGAGCTGACACGACAAAATAAACCCTTTAGTGGGTCTGATAATCTTACAGATGACTAACATGAACAAGGTAGGAAGATCTTGTTTTGGAAGAGGACACTAACCTAGTTGGATCTTGCTGAAGGCCAAACACTCCTCCCACGCTAACAACATTGTGTTTGTTCTCAGGGTCACCGTAACTCAGGGTTACCTGTAAAAATAAGGAAGTATTCAAAACTTGTAACACTAATGCAGAAAACCAGAGTGGAGTAGCAGGGTTATTAATGAGGTACCAAGAAAGACTCCAAAGATGCTGTCTAATCTGAACATGGATGACATTTGGAGGACAGTGATTAGCTCTGACGTAAGCAACGCTGGCACTGAAGGACACTAAGGGCAATGTGGGAGAATGCACAGAGGATCTGAAAGGTGCATTGCCCTGAAGGACAAGATGACTTTCAACTGTAAGCTTTGTAAGGACATGAATTCTGCTACTGTTTGTACCTTCGCTAAATAACATGTTCATCCTTACCAGACATTGCCTGAAGTCTGCAATAGCAATATTTTAGCACAGGGGGAAAATATAAATATTTGCATATTAAGTAGCATGAAAAGGATTGTCATGTTTCAAATCTGAAACAAAGTTTAGATCTTTGGAACCCCAGGTCCTTCCACACAAGCACTGCATTAAGAATTTTTCATGTGTCAGGTGCAAGAAGACTTGTATTTTTTTTGTAATTGTACATTTCCTGGTTTTTGGGTTAGCTGTCTTCGTCTCATGGAACCTATGATGACCAGTGAAACAATGGCCAGTTGTTGGACTGCTGCTACAGTCAAATTCACTAACATAAAGGGGGGGTGACATCACGGTGGAATTTGGCCCCAAGCACACATTTCTACTGCCTAATACAATTGCCAGAAAAATATAACTACCCGGCATGCAGGGGAAAACCACACTCCTGTTTACTCATGGTGCCAAGCACTGTGATGCAGGCAACACTGCTGGATGGCCTTGTGGCTCCATCTGCTGCCAGGGAGGTAAAATGTAGCCCAGCAACTAAAAAGCAAATTGATTTTTCAGAAGCAATTTTAAGTTTCATGAGATTCATACAAATTGTTCTTTAAAATTATTAACATTTAATTATGTCAAATACTTATATAGCTGCCTTTCTGAACATGAATTAAGACTACAACTTTGTTAGGCAAAACCAGGAACACTATTTAGCAAACTTCCACACTTTCTGCTACAGCTACACGCATAAAATCAGGGTTTAGGAGGAGATGGGGTACACCCTACCTAGGCTTCATGTAGCAGAATGTGTCCCCAAAGGAGGGGACAGCTACATGACCTAGTTGGCTAGAGTGAAACAGTGCTTTTCACCAAAATGAAGGAATTGAGCAGGTCACAGCTCTGAGTGAGTCTGTAGATATCCTTCTTTGCTGAAGAGTGCTAAGTCTACATAGTCTGTTCTTTCTGATCAGACTGAGGTGTAACTGTAAGAACAGGACATGAAGCATAGCTCTACCTGCTGCAGCACAGACTCCCCTTGCAGTCTCTGCAGATTTTCCAGGTGGGAGTGGAACAATGGGCTGTGCAGCAGCTTTACCTCCAGCAGCCCTTCGATGATGTAGCCAATGGTGCAGTCGTCAGGAAGACGTACTCTTTCTGCAGTACTAATGAAATTGCCCAGGCTGTGACAGAGAGCATAGGAGACAAGCCAAAATGTGTTTTAAAACCTCCCAGACATGTATTGATGGAGCTCAGCTAGGGACAATGCTTACCTGGCCCAGGGACTCATCTTCAGGGCAAGACCTCGGCTGATACAGAACCCAGCTCCGCCTGTGGCAAACCAGAATTTCACCGTTGTCTTCTGAAGAGCAAAAAGAAAAAACACACAGCAGTTACTGACAATCAGCTTTTTGCATTTGGCTGGGCAGGGAACTCAAGGTTCTACTTGATATCACATATTACATCTGAGTCAGAACAAGCCTACAGATGAATCCCTATTTGTTTAGGCTGCTGAAAGCAGCTAGCTGTTCTCTCAAATGAAACTATCTTGAAACAGACAGCATGTGAACCATCAAATTAGCATAAGGGAGGTAGCCCACATGAAATGGATAGTCCCACTTCCACACAATTACATCTGTCCTCTATTCATTTTAACCAAGGGTCATAGCCAGCTCAGTGTTACGGAGGATGTCAAAGGTGGTCCATATATATATTGGCTCTATGTCCAAGGAGACTATTTTGTTGTGCAGTCTTCCCTAACAAGCTGCTTTATAACTTTTTATGATGTTCTGGCCAGTGGATTGATATATCTTTAAACAGACTTGCCAGTGCAGGTGACCTGGTTAGGATTTTCTCCTTAGCACATGTATCTTGTGGTTGAGATATGTTTGCTTTCGGTTCTTGGAAACCTATAACCACTTTATATTGCAAATGCTTTATCTATCCAGAAAGCTTCTGTCACCCACGTGAAGTTGGTTCAAGATTATGACAATGTGTGTGATACTGCACTCAAAACAAATTAAAAACCCCTTGAACTCCCACCCAAACTCCCAAGTCCTAAAATAAGGAACATTGCCCCCACCGCCACTAAAGGAAAAGTAAAAGTCAAGGTGGGGAGGCCCTACTAAGCTCAGTGTGAGGGAGATCAGCATGCACGAGTAAAGGAACAGAAACAGCCAGCCATCCAGGAGAAAACCTCCATTGTGCATATGTATGCACACAACATCAGGCTGAAGGTGCATGTAACCCAGCATCCTGCCTCTGAAAATGACCATCATCAGGTTCATTTCTTGCAGATTAAAGCACTTGGGTTTATAGGGAAATCCTATGAATTGTCAAGGTTTTAAAGGCTTAGAAGATTGAAATGTCTCTCAGACAAACTGAAAAAGTTTGCTTACTGATCCATCACTTTGGACATGGTCAGCTGCTTCGATGGGATGGTCCAGGCTCGGTCGCCCCACATACACGTCCTGGCTGTGTGAGAAGGCAGACAGGAGATGCAGAAGAGTCCGAGGGTTCACATAGTTGTCATCATCCACATGGCAAAACCATCTTCAAACAAAACAAACCAAGAAGTTATAGGGACAAAGAAATGAGTTATAAGTTTACAACTGAGTCATAGTCTTTCAGGCTTGGAGCAGAAAGTATTTCTTATTATCCCAAATTACAGAATAGGGAAGATGAAAGCACCCACAGATGCTAAGTCTGCAAAGAGGCTGAAATTAATAACTTCCTTAGATTATAATCCTTTCCACCTTTCAGATGATGCTTGTTTATAAACACTGTTTCATGCTGTGCTCCCTTTCCTGCACTCATCCCTACATTTTAGCTAATACTACATTCCTTACTGGAACAGAGGTGGTTACTCAAGTTTCCTGTAAGCACAGAACTGGAAGAAACAAAGTCAATCGGAACAATGTGTTTCACTTACTTTTGCCCAGATTCCAGGAATTTATCATATTCCACAGACATCTTGCAGCAGAGAGCTTGTCGGGTATGGACAGCAGAACAGTTGGTGTTGATCATATGATCCCCTAGAAGAATAAAGATCAGCCCTTTCAGGTCTGAGGAGCATGTGTAGTCAAAAAAAAGACTATAAAAGAAGTGCACATTTGGCACTAATACTATACATCTGAGGTGCACATGGTGCACACATGGAGAAGAAGCTGCAGGACAGGCAGGGCTCACAGGTTACCCATCTGGTATGTATATCTGTAAGTTGCAGAGTCATGAAACTGTGTGACTGCATTAAAACAAGCAAGGGTATATAAGCAGTGTCATGAGATGTGTGTGAAAGAAATACCTACTATGACTTTGAACCACATAAATTTAAGTTTACTAACAAGAAGAAAAGGGGTGCAAAAGTGAACCCAGTATTCTGGAAGTTCCAGGCATCTTGTCCAGGTGGCAATTAGAGAGAAGTTTTCTCTGTTTTCTCCATCTTAACTTCCCTAGTTGCTTGTACAGCATGAAATAAGGAGTTCTATAGAGAATATGAAAGAAACAAAACTCAGTTATAATAGACAGCATGCACCTCTGCTGCTACACAGCTCACCTGCTTTCAGGCGTAGCTCCCGATCCTCCCAGTCCGTGAATATAAATGTCTGTGGAAGACAAAAACCGTGTGTCCACATTTAAGAACCTTCAGATTCTAATTTTAAATTTGCTCAGTTTCAGTTAGAATTCAGAATGTTTTGTCTCTCTTGGTAGTTTGTTTCACAGTAGGCACTGGAAAGGGGGAAGGGAATGGGGGTGCAGAGACCCCCCAGCAACTTCAACCCCTGCCTTAGTTGTTACATTTTTTCATTACAAACCAGAATAATGTCATTTTAATAAAGCAGGCTGCATTTTACCCTCCTTGTCTCATGGTACAGACAACAGATTTCCAGACAGAAAGGATTTTGGTCTTTTTTTGGTACTACCTCCTCTCTCTGGCTAGGAATCATCCACAGCTGCCAAGCAGGTAAAGAAGAAAAAATAGAAGTCAGGGTGGGAAGTGGGAGGTGTTTAACACAGTCTTCTTCCAATGGCTGGAAAAAATCCCATTAATATACTTGAACAGACCAAAATTCTGAAACAAGGGAACAAACTTTATGTTCTAGAGAAAACCTTAAGTACTTAGTCCAAAATATCGGCTTAGATGCATCATCACCAGGAATATTTCACTATCATGAAAGCACTTTCTGCAGTCATACAAAAATCAGCAAACTATGTCTGCTTGGAAACTGGCCTAATCAGCAACGAACTCTTTTGGAAGTATGTTCACACCAAGCGTTTATATAAAACGACTTTCCACAGTCTTACAAAGAAAGCCTTTTTTAACATAAGGGAGAAAAACTCGGTGGGAGCGCACTAGCTGTCCTGGAAGCGCAGGGCCGGAGCTGCCGGCTGCCCCTGCACGCTGGCGAAGTCTCTCACCTGTCCTCTCGCCTGGGAGATCCAGGTTTGGAGGAGCAAGTCCAGTCGGCTCCTATGGTATTTCCTCGTGGTCTTCACGGCAATGAAGATGTCCTTCAGCTCCAGGCTCTCCCTGGCCGCGCTGCCGGCAGTCCCGAGGCGGCCCCTCCGCGCAAGCTGCGAGCTCCCCGCGAGCCCGCCGGCCCCGGGCCCGCCGCCCGGCGCTCCAGCAGAGCCGGCGGGGCCCGCGCGGTGCGGCGGGGCCGCGCTGGGCCCGGCGGGGCACGGCGGGCGGGGCGCGGCGGGGCGCGGCCCCCGCGGCAGCAGCAGCAGCAGGAGCGCGGCGGCTCCCAGCGACAGCAGAACCCCGGCCCTGCGCAGCCCCAGGCAAGGACCGCTCATGCTGCAGCCCCGCGGGCCCCCGCCGCAGGGTGCGGCCACCGCATGGCCCCGCACTCCGGGAGGTGGCGGCGGCCCCGCGGAAGGAGCGGCCGGAGGTTGTCGAGCCGCCGCCGCCGCCGCGGGGCCGAGCGGGGCCGCGGCCCCTTTAAGAGCTTCACCTGTCGGCCGCGGCCTCGCCGCGACGCGCGGCCCGGAAACGGAAGCGGAAGCGGAGCGGGAGGGGCGGGCGGCCGGAAGCGGCGGCGTGAGGGGAGGATGCCGCTGCCCGTCCAGGTCTTTAACCTGCAGGTATGGGGCGGCCGCGTCCTGCCGGCCCGGCCTCTCGGGCCTCGCCGCTCTCCGCCGCGTTCCGCGTCCCTCCCGCGCAGGGTCTGAGACCCCTGCTCGACCGCGGCCTCCGGGGGCGCCGTGCGGCCTTCTCCTTGCGCTCCACGGACAGGGAGCGGCTTTCGGCTGGCATTGGGCCTTCACTCGCCCTTCCGTCGGGTCTGTGTCGCTTCCGCCGCCGTTCGCGAGGAGCAATGCTCCGCCGAGCATCCTCCGGCACCCGTGGCGTCCCCGCCGCTGCGGTGGCCCTGTGTTTGGTACCCGCCGTGCTCAGGGCTGGAGTGGTGGCGGAGGGTACGGTGAGGTGGCCCAGTGAGGAGGAACTGAGAGTCTGTAGTGCAGGGAGAGCCCCAGGAGCCGGGTGGGTCGGTGACACGAGGTACCTGCGGAGGCTGTCCTTTGCAAGTTTTAGCAGTAGCATATCTGTGTCAGGGCACGGGGCTTTGGGCAGAGAGGAGAGAACGAGGGACAGTTCAGCATCCAACTCGGCTCCGTCGTTAGTGACAGATCTGTACTGCACTCCGTCCAGCAGCAGATCACACCTGTTCCTGCCGAGTACAGCAGGAGACTTCAGCTCAGGCACCAGCATATCTGCTTGTGTGAGGCCTGGTGAGGTACCCTCAGCAGAGCAGCCCTTGGGGCTTAGGAAATCTTGGGGAGTGGCTGTTTATTATTTGCTCTGTGAGTAGTTTTTAAGTCGACATTGCATCTTCCTTTCAAAATAAAGAGCTTGAAAATGTTTGAGTTTGCTTGTCCTACTGGGGCTTTCAGCCCACTTGTGTTTTTCCTTGTCTGGGAGTTAAGTGAGAAATGCAGAGTGCAGACTCTCAGCGTAGCAAGGCACAAATTGTTCTGTTCCACCAGCTAGAATTACAGTTACCTTTTTTGCTGTTTTCTAAGGAGTCTGTAATTGAGTTTTTACTACTGTAGGCAAGTGCAGCCTAAATAAACTAACCTTGGCAGTTAATGTTTGTGATATAAGAAAAGATAGAAGGTAGATAAAAGTGGGAAAAGTAGTGGTCTCAGCATATGGTGAATTGCCTGTTTTTATGCGCAGTTTGCCTAAGGGGTGGTCTAGACAATCAAAATTTCCTTTGTGCCCTCCCTCCCTCCCTCCCTCCCTTTCCTTCATGGAAAGGTTAGTAAACTAGGAAACAGATAGTTTTGTGCTTCACTTGCTTTTACTTCAGATTTTGGGAGATTTCAGTGGTGAGATGTGTATTTGATATGTATCAGTTTGTGAAAGAATAAGACCTCCAGACTGTGGGTGAGTATAATTTTTAGAGATAGGAAATCTGGATCTGTGCTGTTTCTTCTCACAAAACAACCCGACCAAACAAACAATCAACCCAGTCCAAAAAACCCTCAATCTTTGATTTCTTGACAGAAAAATCAGTAAAAATATGGAAATAATCAGATGTGTATGTGGTCTAGGTGGTTGGCATGTCTGTCTTTTGTGAGATCCCCTTTTGCAAATCAAGCTTATATACTGTGTGCACAAAGTCAGCATTTTATAAGCAGACAGTCTGCTAAGTTTTCCTCACTTTATTTCCTCACAGTAATTCCTAGGAGGGCTGTTCAGTACACTTGGACTAGGAGGAGACAATGAAATTTGTGCCAGCAGAGCAGTTAGTTTGTGGGATGGGATAGCAAGCTGGTCTGACTGGAGTACACGCAGGGGCTGTAGCAATGCAGCTGTGCCAACGTCACTGCATTGCTGTGAGTCCTTATGGCTCAAAGCAGTGCAGGATATACTGGGAGAATAAAATTCTGTTGTTTCTCCGAAAGAGGCTCTATCCGAGCAATTGAACTTGAAAACTATAGTAAGAGAGTTTGACTAATGGCAGATCCCTGCAGTGCAGTCAAATTGTTCCTTGCTATTTTGGGAACTCTGAAATTGTCATTTGGCATTCTGTTCTTTATAGTTTTTAATACTTCTAAGAAGTTTAACAATATTTGCCTCTTCCCCCCGCCAGAAATATTATTTCTAAGCATTAAAGCAATTTTGAAAGATTGTGGTGAGTTTTTTGGTACATTTTGCCTCTTGGAACTTCTTGATCTGAGTGTTAACATCTGCTCTTGCTCAGAGAAGAGAGATGATACTTTGTAGAATCAGATTATTTGACCCCTTCATTGTTTTGCTTGATAATTTACCAAGCCAAATAAACTGCTCTGTGTGAATGCTGAGCCATGCTGCTGCTTGCATTAGACCAAGCATCTCATGCTGACCGGTGGTGCTGCTAGAGAAAAATCCTAAGCATATCAAAAGACTGAGGAATGCTTTTTCATTTTTAAAATTTAACACATATTTAAGCAAGTCCTTAGTAAATTGAATAACATAGTTATTTCCTGCTCAAATGTAATAAGCTGCTTTTGACCTCGTTTTGCTCTTTTAGGGTGCAGTGGAGCCCATGCAGATTGACGTAGATCCACAAGAAGATCAGCAAAATTCACCTGATATCAACTATGTGGTGGAGAACCCCACGCTGGTATGTGCTGCTGAGGGCTGTGGGTACACTTCTTGCCCATGGTCTCTTCCTTTAAGAATTTTGAAAAAGACCCTTCTGAAAAATCTTAAAGCTGATTAGTCTTAACCACAAAAGCATCGCAACTGAAATTTTGAAAAGGTAAATTGTAATGTAGAGCATATTTCTGAGGAAATTACTTATGTTTGAAGAAAGCAGACATGGACTAATCTTACTGAATTTTTTTTGCCCTCCTTGAGGGGGTCGGGTCTGCAGGAAAAGCTGTGCAGGTCACAGTGTAGTAGGCTGATGCAGTGTGTCCATTTTCACCTTCTGAGGCCAGGTTTTGTTGGCAGGATTTGGAGCAGTATGCGTCCAGCTACAGTGGGCTGATGCGAATCGAGCGGCTGCAGTTCATCGCTGACCACTGCCCACAGCTGCGGGTGGAAGCTCTCAAGATGGCTCTGTCATTTGTCCAGAGAACTTTTAACGTTGATGTGTATGAAGAAATCCACAAAAAGCTGTCTGAGGCCACGAGGTACTAAGAGGCCACGGGAACCTGGGGAGCTTTCCTGACAGAGTTAAGAGTGATGTGCTGCAGTGGAGGACTTTGCATGTAATACCAGCACGTACCTTACGCAAATCGTCTTTGCCTTTAGAGTTAATAGCAGCGAAATGTGTGTTCATGCTTTTAAAAAAGATAGAGCACAGAAGGCATTATCTCATTCTGAAGTCTTTGTGCTTTTAAAAGCTGCAGGTAGATATTGAGGTGATTTAGTCCTTGCAACTGCCTCAAATATTAATGAATAAATTTGTTTTTCCTGAGGTAGATTATGGAGACATGTTCTAGATGCTTTTGTTTTCATAAGTTAATACCTAATCTAACTCTTTGCCTTGTTTTGGTTTATTGTTTCCTTTCTCTCCCCCACTCTAGAAAGAGGCTTGATGTTAAGGATATTCGTTAATATCTCACTTATACATCCACACTTCCCATCTTTGTATTATTTTTGTTGCTATGCTTATTTCATGATTTCTTGTCTGTTTTGCATGGGGAGTCTTTACCATGTGTGTGACAGTATATTCATCCTACAATCATTAGGATAATTTTGTGAAGTATTTGTAAACAGCTGTGATGCTTGTGTTACTGTTTGCACTGGACATTTTAGCAATATGTTTCTTTTTCCCCACTATCCTTATTTTCTCTTTGGTCTATTTTGTGTATGCAGTACTGTTTGCTAGGGTAGCATTGCCAGGCACTTAGCAGACTTCTGTTTTGAAACATATTCAGCCTAATAGCCTCATTCAAATACTTTTCTTTCAGAGAACTGCAAAATACACCTGATGCTGTCCCTGATAGTGGAATTGAACCCCCTCCTCTTGACACAGCTTGGGTTGAAGCTACACGCAAGAAAGCTCTTCTTAAACTGGAGAAACTCGATACAGATCTGAAAAATTACAAAGGGAACTCCATCAAGGAGAGTATCAGGTGAGATGCAAAAGGCTCTGCTGGAGCAAGGAAGAGCCTTTTGTTTCTCTGTGTAGTTAACATGGGATGTGCCCTTAGGTCAGTGTGTTGAGTTACTTGTTTAGAACAAACTGCCTTTGTCCCTTTCTGAGCATGCAGTTCACTGATGTTTTAATTCCCGTCCTCCAGGAGAGGCCACGATGATTTAGGTGATCATTACCTGGACTGTGGAGACCTCAGCAATGCTCTCAAGTGTTACTCGCGAGCCCGTGATTACTGCACCAGTGCTAAACACGTCATCAACATGTGTCTCAATGTTATCAAGGTAGGAGGATTTGCAGGCAGAGGTACCTGGTGTCTTTGTGATACCTGCTGTGAAGCTGCCCCCCATCCTTGGCCCTTGTGTCCGCAATGATGCGGCTTAGCTGAGGAGTGCCGTTCATCTGTGCCTGCCCCACACTGTTTCTGGCTCTCTACAGGTCAGTGTCTACCTCCAGAACTGGTCTCATGTTCTGAGCTATGTTAGCAAGGCTGAGTCTACACCAGAAATTGCAGAAGTAAGCTCCTGCTCTTTAACTTGCATAAATTTTCCCTTTGTTTTCTGTTTCCAAATTTGTAAAATGATTTCTTCCTTTCTCCCTTTATGACTTCTCACATGATACACGTGTACAAAATCTGACTTATGGTAAAAATGGATACTTCCTGTCCTCAGTTTTGCCATATTTCCAAGACAAATAAGATTAAGTTATCTTGCCATTGAGATTGGCAAGTTAATTAGCAGGGTGAAATATCCTGGGGACAGTTGTAAGCAAAATAGCTTTCATACTGCTTGCTCACTACTGCTTTGTTTTATGCTTTAGCAAAGAGGAGAAAGAGATAGCCAGACACAAGCAATTCTCACCAAACTGAAATGTGCAGCAGGTGAGTGAGTCCTTCAGCTTCCTGTATGGTTTGCCTGTCTTTCTACCTGTTAGCTGTCCACGGGGCTCTTGGGTTTATTTTTTCTCTCATATTTGACGGACTTTGTATTTCCATACCAGACATGCAAAATTTAATGAAGCTGGTGAGATAGAACTGCTGGTTTTTGCCATCTCTTTCTTCTCCCTGAGTTTCTTCAGAGAGGATACCTGTGTGAGTCAATGTAGTTCAAAGGATGCTTGATACAGTCTGAGGATCTTGTTTTATTTCACTATTGAAGGCACTAGCAACCGTGTGGGGGCCTTTCCTACTCCCTAGATTTTTCAATTTTCCCTAATTTGTATACTGTCATAAAAAAAGGACTAACTTTTTCTGGTTCCTAGGCTTGGCCGAACTAGCTGCCCGGAAGTACAAACAGGCAGCAAAGTGCTTCTTGTTGGCATCATTTGATCACTGTGATTTCCCTGAGGTGAGGACCAAGAGGGAGCTGTGTGCAGGTCTTGGAGGGGATGCAGTTCTTCTAAGTATTAGGTTGTAAAATTCAGATATTATAGTTATTCGTGCAGCATTCCTATATAGTTTGGTGGTGCTGTGAACTGTGCTGGTTGGTTGGTTTGTTTTTGGTTTCTTTAAGTCTCTGGTTTTGGCTTCTCTAAATGTTCTATACTAGATCACATAAGAGCTACCTGTGAGATTTATAATTTATAATTCAATCAACCAAAAGCTCCTGAAATTGATGTCTGCTCTCTTAGCAGTGTTACTGCTCTGGCCCTGTCACCCCACACAGTGGGTGAGAGCAACCTGAGTGCTTCCACTGCATTTGATAAAGACTAATCTTGTCACTGCTTGAAAGAAAGGCCTGGGGTAGAAGACTCAATGCCACCCTTACACCATTTTGGTAGTCAGTGACAGCTTGCTCTCTGTCTCTCCCTCTCTCTGTAGCTGTTATCTCCCAGCAATGTGGCTGTGTATGGTGGGCTCTGTGCCCTTGCTACATTTGACCGTCAGGAACTGCAACGAAATGTTATCTCCAGTAGGTGAGTGATGCCTTGAGTGATGTTTGTATGTGCTGGACATCTTTTGGAACATGGGACTTTGGTTAAGAGTGGATTCTGGCAGGAGTATTTCTCATACAGGAGAGAAAGAATCACTGAGCCCTAATTTACCTTTAGCATTAAGTGCTGTTTCTCTGTCCAAAACACAGTGGTTAATCGCAGCTGAAATTTTCTTAGTATAAGTTTCCAGCCCAGGTTAAATCCAGCATCTGCATAGCCCAGTTGTCTGTCTTCATCAGTACTTCATATCAGATACTAAATTGAGGGACACAGTCCTCTGCCAAAGGCATCTGTTAGGATAATTTTTCCTTCATGTTGCCCCTTGTTGTGGTGTATGTTAGTCGTTAAAACAATTTAGTAATTATTAGTACACCTTGGAGTGTAATCTTACTATACAGAAGGTTAAGAGGATTACGGTCTTTGGAAGAAAGTGGATATTGAGTGTTGTAGATTTAATTGCAATGTCACTGAATTCCTGTCAGCTAAATGTACAGGAGCTAGATGTACAGAAGCAGTAATCTTAAATTGCTATGGAAAAGGGGTTATTACCCTCTTTTATGGGCTGATACATAGGGTGAGATCCCAAGGTTTAAAAATCTGTGATGGTGAACTGGGAGTGTGCTGAGTAAAAGTGTATATCCCTAAGATTTACCACACTCACAATAGCTTGTTTCTCAGAGAAATTGGCATGCTTGTCTTGTCTATGGCATGCTATACATAATGAAGGCTGTGCTTTGGAAGGGGACACAGAGCTGGCCAGCATGGACTACAGTATGGCATTTGTTTGCCTTATTTTGACCTATTCACATTCATGATTTTGTTTTGTGTGGACAAACACTTCTACTACTTAGTTTGTCAAAAGTCTTTTGTCTTCCTTCATCACAGCTCTGATGCTGTGCTCTATCTCTCTGTGTTCCAGGCTCCCAGCCCTGGTGAAAATGGGCTGTCTGGTCTGTTAGAGGGTAAATTCTTGGAATCTTCTTGGAATGATAGTGAGAGTTTTTAACCTTGTGACTTGGAGTGATGAGGTTATGGGGTATTTAAGTGGCAGGTTCCAATGTCTGATCACTGCCATCTTTATCTGTAGCTCCTTCAAATTGTTTTTGGAGCTGGAGCCACAGGTTCGTGACATAATCTTCAAGTTTTATGAATCTAAGTATGCTTCATGCCTGAAGATGCTGGATGAGATGAAGGTGAGTTGCAGGAGAGCAGTGCAGAGCAGACCCTAAAAGTTCCCTTTGCCTAGCCTTTTGTGAGAAGCAATGATTGTCAAAAGTAGATACTAAATGTTCAGCTCTTCTGTGTCTTCTGTGTCTCTTGGTGTGGTGCATGGAAATTCAGAATAGTTTATTTGTAGAGAGAAATTATAAATATTTAAAACATATTCCTATTTTTTAAAATTCATTCTTATTTTATTGTATTGTCTTCCTGTAGTATTGTATTCTTAAGGTTTAAGTATATACGCATAAATGTTTCAGAACACAGGAATAATATATTTTTCCAGATTGCTTCTCAGCTTCTGATGTGGTTTATTGTTTTGCACAGGACAACTTGCTGCTAGATATGTACCTTGCACCTCATGTCAGGACACTTTATACCCAGATTCGAAATCGTGCCCTTATCCAGGTAATTGTTCCTGTCATCCCAGAGGTGGATAAATAGGGAGATAGGCCATTTCTTTGCAATTGCTTTTCTCCTAGTTTCTTAAAGGGTGGAGTGTGCAACTGAATATTTTCTTCTTCTTCTTCTTAGTACTTCAGCCCGTATGTGTCGGCAGACATGCGCAAGATGGCCACTGCTTTTAACACCACAGTGGCTGCTCTGGAAGATGAACTCACTCAGCTGATCTTGGAGGGGCTGATCAATGCCAGAATAGACTCGCACAGTAAGGTGAGTGCATTTCACCCATGGATTAGAGACTGAACAGGCTTACTAAGTTTAGAAACTCTCCATTCCTGAGATGCTTGGAAGGTGCATTCATCTCTTGGGCCTGGTGTGTTCAGTAGGGGTGAGCTGTGTGTGACCTCAGGCTCCATAATGCCTTAGCTGTTTTCCTGCTGTGAAAACCCTGGTACAGCTCCCATGTTCATTCTCTGTATTGGTTACAGATTCTGTATGCTCGAGATGTAGATCAGCGCAGCACAACTTTTGAGAAGTCTTTACAGATGGGCAAAGAGTTTCAGCGCCGTGCCAAAGCGATGATCCTGCGAGCCGCGGTCCTGCGCAACCAGATCCATGTCAAGGTATGGCCCTGCTCAACTGAGACTTAAAGGCAGGGTTAAGTAAAACTGGGAAAGTTGGTGAATTGAGGATTCTGGAAGGGAACGAATCTATCATGTTCCTGATTGGACAAATTCTTACAGTAGTAAATACTTAATATATAAGGAACAAGTGTTTTTAGCCAGTCGATTAACCTGTTTGTAGAGCTCAGAATCTCCTTTGAAGTTTATATGGTTGGGTTAATTCTGAATAACTCCTTTGGTCCAGTCCTTGGTAGACGTATCTTCTACCTTCTCAATAAAGATTGTCTGAAGTAATTTTTTCAGCAGATGAAGTAAAAAAAGCATTAATTGTTAGGAGTATTCCTTCTGGATTTCAGTTTGAAAAGGATGCCTTTAGGGAGGATAGGCCATCTGCACAAAATGTATTAATTTCTATAGTATATTAATCCCTGTGATTACTAAATGTCAGATAGGATTCAATTCCTGGGGTCAACAGCACCTTGTACATAGTAGGTAAGAGTGGCTTAAAAGTTCTGGTTTGACTTTTTTATGAAAACTTTTTGTGAACTGTAGAAGTTGTTAATACAAAACCATCATGAATGAACCTGGGGGTATACTCTCCCCCTGCTGCCATCCTGCTGTGCTTCACCTGTGCTTTATTTTGTCTGTCAGGAAGCAGGCTGCAGAATATTTACACATCACTGACTAGGATGTGTTTTGGTTTTGTTGCAGTCTCCTCCGAGGGAAGGTAGCCAAGGGGAGCTCACTCCAGCTAACAGCCAATCCAGAATGAGCACCAACATGTGAAAAACTTCGTGCACTACCAAAAGAAATGGTCCCTCAGGACTGTACCCAGTGTCTCACCCACTAACTGCTGAGCTTCACAAACTGTCCCTATCTCCCTCACTTCTTGCTCGGATTGAGAGAGTCAGGGTTGGTGGTGGATAATATGAATATTCCAATAACTTCAATTCTCCTTGAAAAGAAATTCTTTTTAAAAACAGCATCCCTGCAAATGGGTCATCATTTCAGTTTTGGTAGAAACCTTCACTCTCCTTCCACCACTCCATAAAGAGCTTCAGGTTATCCATACAGATGCTGAGTTGAGAGTTTTTCAGTTGCTAATAGTTTTCTTGTTTCAAAGTTGCAAAAATAGTTAGTTGCATTTTGCTGGCCTGAAAGTATTGCCTCAATTTTGAGCAATGCTGAGCTTTCTGTTTTCCAAATAAACTTACAAGTGCATTGCTCTCAATTATGGAACTAGAGTTCTGATGGGGGAGGAGATTTCCTTTGAGAAACTTCTTGGAGAATTTTCACCTGTAGCAGAAAACATGGCATTGCTTCCATGCATTCAGTCACAGGCCTTTATTTTAGGGTTTTATGTTTACCTGCAGCCAGGTTCTCTCTCTCTCTCTGGTCTCTATTTTCAAAGAACTGTTTCCTGATGTGTTTCCCTCTTGTGTGTGACCTGGCTTTAGGGTCCAGTGTTATCATAGCAGTAAATCTCTACTTCATGCAAATATTGCTGCTTGCCCAGTCTTACTGCCATAGTGTGTAATGGTTTCCCCACATGTGCAACAGTTGTTTTGGGTAGAATGGATAAATGCCATAGAACACCACTCAAGTCTTGTGGAAACCCTAAAAAGAGTCAGTCTAGTGCCCACTCTCCAGGTGCATTTATTCTGCTTTTCTTTTTATAAAGGGGTTAAAGTTGGCAGCCCAGTGTGTGTGTGTTTTTCCTCCTGTGTTCATGAAAAGAGATATGCACTGAATTTTCTGAAGTCACTGCAGCCTTGTATTCATCTAATCCATAAGGCAAGCTGAGAATTTTGATCCAGCCCTGACTGGTCTGGCAAGTGACTACAGATGTTACTTTTAATGTGTTCATGCCTTTTTTTTTAAAAATAAGTTGTTATATCTAGTGCATTAAACAGCAGGATTAAAAAACTTCCGAGTATTTGGAATTTTGTGTTAAAGTTGGGTTTTAGGTATTTTGATCTCAAGCCATTGTTTTTTTGTTAAGCTTCATGATGTTTCATAGGCGATTGTTTTGCTTTCTGATCTGGTTGGAGATGCAGCTTGGATGAAATGTAAAGAAAGTGCAGTTTGAAGAAACATTCAAACAGCAAAATTCCTGTAGCAACAGTGGTCTCTCCTGGCTTTCCATGCTTTTTATTACTTAGGTGCTGAAAATGGAAGCAATAGTTTCTGTGAGGTCTTTGGTTACATTTGGCATGGAAAAATTCTCCCATTTTTGAGGGAAGAACTTAGTGTCAAGCATCACTGATGGCCAGTTTAGTGAGAAAGGCAAGTTGAGTCCTTGGGTAAATTGCTGTACATCCTTATAAGAAATGCTGGGAAAGTTACACTTTCTGTTTGTGTTGAAGGGAAGCTTTTCAGTCCTGAAATGCTACTCAAACATTTTTGCTTTCTTCCGCAGATGGGCCAGTGATAGTATTTATCAGGAAAAGATGTTACACTCTGCTGTTTAGGAGATGGTTTTGCATCCCAGTGAAGTGCACCATGCCAGGTGACCGTCTGTGCTCCCGCTTTCGGGATTTTAATTTTATTTATTTACATCAGTCCCTTGCTGGAGGATTTCTGCTGCAGGACTCCTCAGTGGTGCCTTGAGCTGACTGGAGTCTCTGTACTTCCAGACACCAGCAGCATCACACATCCCTCAGCAGCCCCAAGGGGCCCACAAGGTGGCAACAGCAGTTTCCAGCTCTGGCTGTGGCCTGAGGCCATTCTGTACACTGGCAGGCATGGTTAAGTTTTTGTCCCTCCAGACAAAAGTGCTTGCAGCCTCTTTGGGAGTTATCGAGCATTTCTCTTTTATTACACAGGCATCGTTGATGCTTTGTGCAGAATTACTGGCATGTAACTCTCTCCTTTAGCCTGTGAAAGAAGCTGCCGTTGCTTTTGGATCTTGTAGATGGGAGTCAGGCTGCACTTTTTCTCTTTAAAATTTTTTTTTAGATCTTTCTCAGATCTCATTTCATAACCTGTTTCTCAAATAAACGCAATTGGCTTTCTTTTTTTCTTTTGTGAAATACCCCAGCTTTTTCTTGTGTGCCTCTGAAAATAATTTAGATGTGAGAACCCATTTTCCTGAAGACTGAGCATCATTTTCAGCATCATTCTACATTCAAGGCACTGCCTTTTCTTCCCCCTACTCCATGAAAATAAAATAGTGTATATCTCCTTAGGGGCCTGTGAAACACAAGCAAAACAGGCCTTGACCTTGCCGAGCTGGCAAACTACAATCTTTTGATTAGAGATAAACAGAATAATTAGTATATTGCCTAGCCTGAAAGTAATCCCTTGTTAGTGCAGGTGTGCTCAGTGGGAACAGTAAGTGGCTTGGCTTTGCTCATGTTGCAGTTGTGCCTCTGAGTTCACAAGCATTGCTTAGTGAGCCATGGCTCATCTGGACAGCTTTGCCTTAGTACTGCAAGGTTGGCATCTTCTTGCACGGCTGCTGAAAATTCAGGTTGAAACTTTTTTCCATTAGTGTGGTGATTTGTAGCTGGATGCACAGAGGTGGGTCTATGTTGCAGTGCCAAACTGAGCAGTTTTTCAGCCCTGTGTCAGGAGTGTGGCAGCCTCCAGCCATGCCATGGCCAGGAGTGGACAAGATAAGGTCTACCTGCATTTCTCCATTGTGCTTGTTAAGAAATGCCTTGGTATGGAGGGAGGGACAAATATACCTTAAATACTAATTCTTTATAGAATGGTATCCAATTAGTACTCTCAAGTGTAAGGCTCCTCCTGAATTTAGGAGCCAAAAGCCACCTTGACTGTTCCTTCACACTGGTCTAGTACTTCTGGTACTTCATAATAACAGTGAAGACACTGTATTTATAAGAGGGAGGTGTGATCTAAAATCTGTGTGTTTCACACAGCCCCAGTTCTCTTGTGCTGGAACTGGCTGTTTTACCTTTGCAGACTTTGAGCAGGAGAGTGTCTGAGCTTTCTGATCTTTTTGGGGAACTGTTAATGCGGAGAGGTCAGTTAAACAGTTTGAAATTCTAGGATAATAAATATTTGGGTTTTTTACTAGAAGAGGGGGGAACAGACCAGAAAACTCAGACTACTTGACAGCTTTAGCATGTACGCCTGTGAAAGGGAAGAAGTGGACTATTTCCACATGAAGTGGAAGAGGTGGTTTCAAGTTTCCATCTTTAAAAAAGGCATGTGTAGGACCTGCATCTGGTTTTGTCACATCTCTCAGAATTTATCATGTGTGAAGGACAAATGACTACATAATGAAGTATGAGACCTTGAGCAGGGAAACACTACTGAACTTGGTTCCAACTTCCCACATATTTTTAGACAACCCTCTCTGTTAAAATAGAGATTTCATCCTCCCCCAACCTTTGGCTCATGGAAGACTGTTAAGTGTGATCATACTGTTAGAAACTAATAATTGTTAATGTGGATATAGCAAGATCTTAGAGTTTTACATTCACATTTTCCAAGTACTGCTGCTTTCTTTTCTGCATTACAAATGAAGCCTACTAAAACACTAACAAATGTGACACATTTTCTGTTCGTGAGGAAGTCACTGACACTGCTATTTTTAGCACGCCAGAAGACTGTTCTAATACAATAAATTTAGTTGCCAGTATTAAAAACAGAACATGAAGGGTTAATGAGCATACAGGAGGAAGAGTGTAATGGCAGCTTACAGAAATTGTCTCCACCCAAAAATGCAGCATTTTCAGTCTTTCAAATACAGCATTAGACATTTAATTGCATCTCTTTTATTTCAAATGCAGGATAATTCCCTGAGTAAGCAGTTTTTTACTTAAATAAAACTTTTCCAGAACTTAATTATGTGGAAGAAGTTCACACAGCTGACAGTGAGCTGGAAATGACACATTCTTTGGCCCAGGGAAGTAGTGTAGTGGTCTGGCAGGAGCTCTTGGACTGTTCATTTCCAAAGCTTCACCCTGTACTGTCACCAGCCTCCTTCAGCACTGCTGTCTCCCCCACCTCTGCATCTCCTCTCTGACTGATCTCTGGGGTCTGAATTCCTCTTTGACTGTGCTGCCATGAAAGGGATTTTTCATACTTGGTCTTAAAAAGTAATCCATGACCTGAAAAAGCAAAAAGGGGAAAAAACCCCAAACCAACATCCTGAAATGAGATGACTACAGTGGTAAACAGAATACCTCATTCCTTATAAAGAATGGGTCGTTACAGACTGGAAACTGCATCCCAAGGCTTTGGAAACAGGAGCAATGACATACAGAGAAAGAAGAGCAGTCTTTTAAAATGGTACTACAGACTTTTACATAGGATGTAGGTAGTATGTAGATTTTAGGTAGTATGTAGATTTTTACACCCACCTACACCCCATAACCCAAAGATTAGGTAATGAATATAGATGGGAGATGGATAAGACGTTTGCTTGTTAAGGCCAGATGCACTTACCTGGACAATCTGCCACCTCCTTGAATGCTCTTTTCTTACAGCATCCTCGGCACATGTTAAACACACATTTAGTGCCCTGGGTTGGGATAGTGGTATAAAGAAGCTTGTGTCAGTGAAAATAAAATTATTACTGTTTACTATAATAAGTAACAATACAGCTCTGCACTTTCAGATCTTCGGAAAAAAAAGTGTACTCAGCCTAATGAAGATGATGGAGTTGATGTCATATTGGGTGCTATCCGCTGTTTGCACATAAATAACAAAAACACCCCAACCAACCAAAAAAAAATCCACGTTCAACTTGTGCAGCCCCCACAGCCTGTGGGGCAGCCTGAGTTACCCACCACAAGCAGCCACATGCCATAAGCCCTCTGGAACAAGCATGAACACATCTGGTGCTGGCGAGCTTGCTCCAGTTCTCTGCAGCGTGAAACACAGCGCTGCCATCTGCAGCTATGCCTACAATGTTACCACCACAATTACTTCCCTACTCCTATCTTAAAATACACCTGCATATTTATTGAAGTATAATGTGTGACCCTTAAGGGACAGCAGCAGCTGAGTCTTGGCTAACTGATAAGGTGGCAGAATGAGCCTGGGTCTCGGGGCTGCTTTGCTCACACACAGTTTAGAAAAGGGGGTTGATATTGTTTACTGTGGTTCCCTTCACGCCAGTCAGAAAACCTTTCATGTTTAGGGAGGCTTTAGTTGAGTTCCTTATCCTTTTCCTTCTCCACACACCCCTACCCCATTTCATGACATAGCTCAGAAACACATAATCTAGGGGAAAAAAAAAATTACAGGCCTGGTCAGAAGATTTCAAAAGCTACCTGCAACATTACAGTGATGCAACAGCAAAACAAAAATAAGTCTAAGCCCTGGTGCAGACAATCCTGCTTTATGCACCAAGCAATGTCACCTGGATTAGCTATGAAACAGGATGGCTTTGAAAGCAGGCCAGCCTAGTGCTCAATGCTTTCCCAAAGACGAACACAGCAAAAAAATTCCATTTTTTTCAGTAGCTGCAACTTCAAATTGAGCCGCAGCTGGCGGCCACTGCTTTGCTGCAGTAACAGTGTTACAACAAGGAGCAAATCACATGCTCGTGTTGCAGGCTCCCCTGCCCCCTGAGGTGTATGTAATGCTAATTTTTAAGCTAGAACACAAAATTACTTAGATTTTACACCCCACTTTACAGGTATATTAGCAGCAATAAATACACTCTGCTTACACAGCTCAGCAACATCACCCTGTCAAGCAAATAGCTATGTTCCCCAAGGGAAAAAATAAACAAGCAAAAGCAAAATGAACTCTTTGCAAATATCAAAATATTTGAAATTTCAATACAGAACCTGTAAAACCAGCTGCCTCATTTCGCTTTGATAATAGTGAAAGTCAATTTTAATCTATTGCAAAGGCAGGACTGAGGATGAGGAGGTGCTTAGGCTTGTTTTGGTAAGGGCAGAGATCCAAACACAACACAAAACAGAGCTGCAGGTGCTGCCTGACACTGCAGGCTGTACTGCGATGACATGAAGCATTTTTATTTTACACTAAGAATCACACCAGTTATTCAAATTTTCCCTTTGCAGAAAAACTCCACCCACCACTAACCCCAGTAAGAGGGGGTTGTTTTTCATTTCACAGTAAAATATGCATGTCATACATGTATAGAAGTCTGGAGATTTGTTTCCAAGATATCTTCAGAAATTCAATTAACTCACTCAACTGTCTCAGCAATAAACACCCTCAGCAGCAGCAGGACTGCACTTTTTTGGAGAGGAAGGCACAGTCTCTCGAAGAACCTATGTATGTTAAGGATTTTTGTGCAGCACCTTCAACCTCAGAGATTGGTTACAGTTAATGGTTAAAAAGCTTTTGCCCAAGTATGGGCTTTCCTCCCCACACACAGACTTATCAGCAGGACTTGGCATGCACCTGTGTGACTGGCCACTGGCACAGACCTACCTTAGGATTTGGAATAACAGAATAGAATCATAGAATAGTTTGGGTTGGAAGGAGCCTCTAGAGGTCATCTACTCCAATCCCAGGCAAAAAGCAGGAACATTTTTGACTAGATCAGGTTGCTCAGAGCCCTGTTCAACCTGACCTTGAATGTTTCCAGGAATGGGGCATCCACAACCTCTCTGGGAAACCTGGGCCACTGCCTCACCATAAAAAATGACTTCTACTCTCTTCAAACCCATTGCCCCATGTCCTATTCCAACAAGCCCTGCTAAAAATTCCATTGCTGTCTTTCTTTTAAGTCCCCTTTAGGCACTGGAAGGGGCAGCTCTGGGCCTGCCCTAAGAGCTCCCTGTGTCTCCTGCACCAAGGGCCCCAGAGCTGGATGCAGAGCACCAGGTTGGGTGCGGCCAGAGCAAAGGCACAGAATGCCCCCCACCATGACCTGCTGTCCATGCTGCTTCTGATGCAGCCTAGAGCACGGGGGCTGTCTGGGCTGTGAGTGCACACTGGTGAGTCATGGCCAGCCTCTCTCCCACCAGCACCCCAGAGTCCTGGGCAGGGCTGCTCTCTGTCTGTTCCTCCCCCCAGCCTGGATTTGATACCACGGTTGCCCTGACCCAAGTGCAGAATCTTGCACTTGGCCTTGTTAAACCTCAGAGGTTCCCACAGGACACTGCTTGAGCTGGTCCAGGTTCCTCTGGATGGCCCTGTCCCTCAGGTGTGTCACCACTCCACTCAGCTTGGTGTCATCTGCCAGTATGCTGAGGACACCCTTGATCCCACTACGCACATCACTGATGGAGACATTGAGCAGTGCTGGTCCCAGTACAGACCCCTGAGGGACACCACGTGTCACTGATCTCCATCCAGACACTGATCCCTACATGGACATTTAATTTCCATTTAACGGAAATGCTTTGATGGACGCCTGTACTGACTTACCTTAGGGTTTCCACATTGATCACATTTTGCATACTTGGCTGAGAAAGAGAGAGAGAGAGAGAGAGAAACCTGATTTCACCAATAGTAAATTTTATGTGGAAGAAGTAAGTTTAAAAAAAAAAACAGAACCAGAAAAGCTTGGTGCTTTTCTAGCCAGAGACTCTTTTTGAAATAAAAATACAGTACCTCCAGTAACAGTGCAAAGGTAAAAATACTTTGAATTTTTAAGTGCCTCTATGCTAAAATCCAAACATTGAAAATTTTAATCCTCAAGTCAAGCATAAAACAGGAGGACATCAGCTTGAAATTCATACAAAATTTCTACTTCAAATGCTAATGATAGCTACAATGCAGTTTGTAAATAATTTTGATCTTTAAAAGATGCTTAAAGAGAATCAGTGACCTACTACTTTGATCCTTGTTTCCTTTACTAGTGAACATTATTTGAATCATGTTGCCTGCTATTGAAATTTCAATAGCAACAATTCCTCGTCTTTTCAAAGAAGTTTCTACAAGTACACAAGCCAGGAAAATTCTTAGTGGCAAGTTATGTCAAAAGTGGTATCAGCATATCTCCATACATTTATGCCAATAAATGGAACTTACGTTTTAAAGAAGGATCAAAGCTTTTATTTGGATTTCTTAACTTCTTTTTTTGTTTATTCTTTGACAGAAGCTCAGAATTTCCATCTTCCTCTTCTTCCAGAGCACGTTTTCCTCGCACACCTTTTTCAGTTCCACTATCTCCATTCTCCCTGCATCTCTCCTTTGGCCTGAAACAGTGAATTTCATCATAAGTTGACTGGAGGGAAGGAGTAGCTGTTCCCTGACCATTATTTTGGTTTACAGAAATCTGGGTAAACCATAAACCTTTTCTATTGTGGCAATGAAGTGTCATTGCCCTTAGAAATGGGATAGAAAAACCGAGCTGTTTTGGTTAACACTGGCAGTTCATAACAGACACACTATCAGATATATCAGTTGGAAAGCCAATTAAAGTTGGCCACCTAAATTAGGCACATCAGGTTCTTGTTCTCAGCTGCTAGCTGCTGTTGGATTCCTAAGTTTTACTTTTCAGAGAGAGAGAGAAATTTGAGGAGGATCCAAAAGGCGAAGATGCAAACAATGAGCAACATCCCCACAAACAAAGCAATAACTAGGAAACAACCAAACTAGAATACAAATAATTCAAAGTCTTCTTCAGTATCAATAAAACTAACTCACCCTGGCCTGATGTATGGCTGACAGATCCAGTGGAAAAAAGGCAACCCTTCTTTTGGCTTTTCTCCTTCTTTCTGATTAGCTATTTCTTCCTGCAGCATAGAGTTACAGTCAGTCTTCCTGGAGTTGTCAGAAAATACACTAAATAACATTTCAAACTCCAGGAAATTTGCAATTTCACAAATTGAAATTTAAGCTAACAATTACTGACCATTACATATAGGCTAAAAAACCATCTACTATGACAGATGAAGTGAAGCACATTTCTAACTCCTAAATCAACTTTATCCCACATAAAGCTGTCCAGGCTTAAGGGGATGCTACTGTAGTAAGCTACAAATATCAAGGTTAGTAAGCCACAAATCCCAGAGAAGTGACTAATGGATGTCAACTCTATGACATACTTGGTACATTGCCACCAAGTGCAGGCAGTGCTGTTCTGCGAGATTAGAGCCCATCTTGGTACCTGGCATCGCAGTTTCAGCTCCCTGTTGACATCTACAATGCCCTCTAGAGTCTTCACTTTTGCTAATTCTTCACGCAGCTGCTGGTAAACTTGAAGCCTGAGGTAAAGCCCAAACATCAGTTATATTTAGACTGCAATCAACTAAAAATAACTGCATAAAAGCATTTTATACACTTTTCCTGATTCATTTGCCTTTGGTAGAAGCTTATATTCGTCTTTGTAAGTCCAGAGAGAAGCACACATATGTCTCTTCCAGATAAAGACTCAGCAGACAACCAAGGTACTTTGACATAAGCTAACGTGAACGTACAGTGCATCAGCTGCTTCTCAGGAACTGCCCATAGCTATGCTCTTACTCCACAACAAATGCAACAGCACTCTGCCTCACAATGAACAAGGAGATAGTTAACTTGTATTTGCCATGAAGTGTGCGCAGATGGGCAATTACCACATTGCAGCTGGCGTGCTGTGAGATCACACCCTGGCTGATCTTGTGGCAACTTGTTCATTCCCCATGCCCTGTTTCCCAGATATGAAATAAAGGGTAAAGGCCTCAGCCCACACCCTCTCCAGCCAGGTCCAGGAAAGAAAACCTTGCAGCATACTCATTCTGGCCAAACAAATCCTTGTCCAGAAAGCCCAGACACTTTCTGAGCAGGATGAGCCCTGAAAACATTAAAAAGTTCTATGGAGATACTCACGTGTGATGCCAGAGCTTGAAGAGATGAGCCCTAACATAAGACAATGGACAAGGGTACTTCCGCACAATCTCCAGGTACTCCTCAGCCATCTCCCACACCAATGGGTTCCGGCCCTCAAACAAAGCTGGGTTATGAAGATTACCTTCTAGGGAACGAAAAGAAATACTCAAACTTTCATTTCAGGATTGAAACAAAGGCCAAAATCTCTGCTCTGGAGTTTGATCATCTCTTCTGTGATCCTACAGCCACAGACACATCACCCACGTACTCTCAAAAGGAACACAGAGTCCGTAATACTCCAGCCTGACCCTGGGATACTATATTTCACTATGCAATTCCTAATTGCACTGAACAGCTCATATCTAATTAAAGTACTGTTTCTAGAAAGGCATCTAACCTTGACAGGAAGACAGTAAACCAATTAATAAATAGAGAAATCACTGCTTTTGTTGCCCAGCGGTTAAATACTGAAATGACAGGTGTCTTGCCTTATGTCTGTATTGGTATTTGTCTGGCCCAAATTCACAAATACAGCTTCTCACTGTGCTTTTCTCCACTGGCTTCACAAGCCTTTTGTTAACCAGTATTTTCTAAAACCAAGATTCTACAACCCTTCTTTAATTGTGTGAGTGATTAGAAGCTTTTCTGATGCCTATCCTAGCTCTTCCTGTAGGAAGTTGTCAATTCTTTCTTGTCCCAACCCAACATGAACCACCTGCAGGAATATTAACCCACAGATGCACTTCATTCATTGAGAACCATTCAAAAACTGTTCCATTGATTAACAGATGTCACAAAAATATTCCAGGACCACAGGAGCTCCATATGCCTCCCATATGTCAAGTAATTACATTTAAGCTCAATGAGTCAATGGTATTGCAAGTCCAACATAATGATTCTTTACCAATCTTAAGGGATTCCTATTCCTGGTATGAGATGACCAGTGTAAGATGAGGGAGAATGGCCATTCAGCTGTCAAGCAAAGCTGTTCACCAAGTCAATCTGACATAAGTTTTTAATAAATGTATGCAAGGCTGCTAAGGGAATAAGAAACAACTCATATTCTCATCAGAGTAGAAGTTAATTTTCTTTACCTGCACTCATGACACCATGTACTCCTGTCTTACGGATGCATTCTTCCACATCACTGAGACACTGGATGTTTCCATTTGCAAATACAGGAATGTTTACAGCTTTTCTATTCCAATGAATAAAACAGATGCATAAAACTGAGAATTAGAATCAACCCAGGAATTTTCCTCCCGTCACATAAATTTGTTTGCTCTTCAATGCCACTGTACAATCTGTTTAAAATCCAGTGTGTTAGCAGGAATTCACTAAGACTGGTACTGCTCACTAACCTTACAGCTTGAATGTGCTCCCAAGATGCTACGCCAGCAAGTGGTCCTTTCTGTTCTTTAGTACGGCCATGCACAGTCAGCAGCTGGAACACAACATTACATTTGCTCTCCACATGTATGAACCACTGGAATAAATCCACTGAAAAAATTTTCCTTTCCCTCCCTACACTTCAGGGATGCCACAGAGTTCCTGCTGCTATTTCAAGAGTGCAGGGAGTTTAGCAATACAGAAAAGTATCAGCAGCTCACCTACCATGGCATGGTCTTAGGCTCCTTTCATCTTGCTATTCCATGGCAGGAAAAGATTCTATCATGGGAGAATCTACAGGTTTCCTTTCCTTTTTCTACTGGATTAAATTTGTGATTCACTTTGGAATTTGTGATATATTGATCTACCTTTCTCCTCAGCAGAAGGTCCAAATACTCTCAGTACTGTCTCTAACTACAGACCATCTCTTCCAATTTAATTTGAGTTAAATCCTAGAAGACTGCCTACTTCTTCTACTCATACCTTTTGATACTCTTCTTCTTCTACACTACTGTGGATTTTATGCATTCACACTTGCCTCATGCAGCACTATGTGAATATTGAGATGCTCAACCACAGTGAAAGATGCTGCACAGTGCAGTGATTACAAGAGACTGAAATCATTGTGTCTTTTGTACCACACCACTGACCTGTAGCCTAGGGCTGCAAACACACAAAATCTGTCTGCATCCTGTTTCCTCTGTCTGTAAAATAATGCAGCCTATTCATATCCACAGTATAGCAAGAACTGGTCATCAGCTACTTTACACAAAGGTAAGTGTCCAGTGCAGGAGCAGAGGGAGCAGCTGCCTTCTTACCTGGCAGCCAGCCTTCTCCAGCATCTGTGCATACTTCACTGTCTTGTCAATGTCTGGGAAAACGCGGATTTTGCATGTGATGGGAACAGAGAGCTTCTCGTTAGCCAGTAAAACTGAGAAAGATTGAAAACACAGGTAAGTGGGCTGCACAATGCTATGGAAAGTGTCTGCTCTCTTCAAGATCTGATACTGGGTATAGTATGGAAAAAGCCTAAGAAGTTACTGCTATGCAGTTCTCACAGCTTAAAAAATCAGCAGTGTCCTCTGCAATCTTTACTGCATAGTTTAATCACGTAACAGTAACACACACATGAAACACAAAATCTGCATCCTAACAAGGTAGCATAAAATAGTCACCCATTTCATAGCCCTAACCTTCCACTGCATGAAGCCATTACTTTCAAAGACCACCCCCTCACAACTTAATTATTGATACAAGTTTATTATCTTCACAGGCTATTGTACTCCTCCAACATTAACACTTGCTTATCTACCTTTCCCACAAAAAGGTGCTTCACTTCTTTGCAAATTATCACCAAAAAAATCCTTATAAGTAGAGTCTTATCCATGGCAAGCAGAGGCTTATCAAGGCAGGTAGGCTGCAGATGCAATCAAGTAGTAAATGTAGGTTATAGAGTCAGGGTGAAATCTAGAACATGGTAAACTCCCAGTCCTTACACAGTACCTAGAATCACAAAAATACCAAAAAGAGAGCTAACAAAGAGAGCCAACTGGAAAACACTGAGTAATGCTGTGTCTGAAATTCTCTTCTCTTACAGAGCTTGGATATACAATGTAGGAAGTCACCTGCTGCCCTCTAATCTAAATCCTGTGAGCTCTAATGATAGGTACTTCCCATCACCCTTTCAAAGGAGCAAGCAAGGTGTATAGAGATGCAAGCAGAAAAGAGTGCTCCACCATTTAAAGGCAGCTGGGGAAAGAAGGAGGAAGAGGACAGCCTAAGATAACTCTTACTAGACAGCCTGGGTTCACCCAACTAGATGACCTGGGTTCTCTTCACACCTTGAGGCCATTCTGATTTGCATATTTCTCAACAGCCACACTACATGCTGGGCAAGGATGCACTGTCTTATCTTCCAGGTTCCCAGCAATGTCTTTGTACCAAACATCACTCAAGATTCCCAGACCACGGGGAATGCAAACAGAAATACAACTGTCTAACTTCATGGTTCCAACACTTGCTTTGAAGTGGGATGAAGACACATTCTCAGTTCTACAAAATGACCAAAACCTTGCTTTTTATATCAGTTACAAATGCATTTCTTAAAAAAACATGATACTGTTCACAACAGCTACTGATAGCCTGAAAATAACCTACATGAATTAGGAGAAGAAAGGCATAATTTGCCGTACTGTGGACAGAAAGAGTACATGGAGTTGATCAGAAAAGGGAAACTGTGGCTTCAAGCAGAAACACGACCCTTGGCACCTGAGAACTTCAATGTGAAAAAGTAAGGCACTGGGACTTCTACTGTTTCTAGAACTGGAGAGCCACTAAGCTATCATATCAGCCTGGGACTTAAATGACTCACTTTCACCTGAAGTCTGTTTCAGGTACAAAAGTTTTTTAGCAGATGTAGTGTGAGTTGGCAGTGGGACACCACCAATTATCTTGAGGGTACCACTGGAATACAGTATGAAATTAAAAAAAAAAACATAAAAGAACAAAAAAAAGAATACAACTACCCCTTCAAAACCCAAACACAACTCTGCCCAAAGAAATATGATGCACCTCCTTTCCCCCAAAATCCCTAAACCTCCTCTCAGTAATTACTTTATCCTATTCCTTCTCTAAATACTTACTCATTCTCTGAAGAAGATCCCACTCCTCTTGCAGGAATGCTCCATAGTGACCTATGATAAAATAGCATATGACAGACTTGCGCAGAAGAGTAAGATCCTGAAGCACAGTTTTCATAAACTCTCACAAAGATCCAGACACTCATATGCCTCACTGGCAGAAACACAGCTGCTCTGTCCTGCCCCAACTGGAAGAGTGGGATCATTCTGTTCTCCCTGCCACCCTAAATTTACAGGATAAACAAGGAATACCCACAGCCTACTTTCACTGGTACTCCCCAAGGCTGATGTGTTGACACTTGCAGCTCAAAGTCCAACTTCTAAGGGTTTATACCAGATGTTTAATAAATCCTATTAGGAAAACAGATGATCAGACTGAAAGATCTATTTGTACCATTAATCATTTCCTATTAGTCTTTGAAAGGTATTTTAGAAGAAGAATGGGCAGTTACTGAACAAATATTTTCTCAACATCTTAACTGATCCAAAATTTTCAAACACTGCCTCTGGTTTTCAAACATGCAGTACCTAAGGGATTCAGTAGGCGTCATCCTCTTCTACACTACTGTGAAAAAACTCTGCAAGTATCAGGGAAATAGGAGATCCTAAGGGTCTGAATGATCTAATTTTAAGTGCAGTTTTTCAAAAATAGGCTGTTTGAGCAAAAATCAGAAAGAAAATCAAGCTCTTACTAAAAATAATGTTTCTGAAGGATATTCTAGACACAGGAGCTGCCACTTAAGAGAAATCAGAATTAATTATATCTAATTTTTGCTTTAGGTACTACAAAAAGCATTACCTGCTACATTGGGTGTAACTAAGTCTGGCTTCAGCAGTACTGTAGCCTCCCCAAGGCACGACTTGGCCTTCTTGATATTTTACTGTCAACATTCCCATTTGAAATGCCATTTGCCATTTCTCTGCTTATCCAGGGTTCAGATTTGCACATACCTCTCTTTGCAATCATTTGGGGGCAACCCAAATTTAGGTCTATGGCATCACAGTAATCCTGAGCCAACAGTGCTGCTTGGACAAACACTTCAGGATCATTGGCACAGAACTGTGAAAACCAAAGAGAAGTGGAATAATCAGGCAATAGCTTTCTTCAAGTACTGACAAAAAGTTATGATGTAGTTATGAAGCAACTACCTGCTACAGAAAACAGGCAAATATGCACAGTTAATAATACCAAACACTATTTCTCAAAATGATCAAGGGAAGCCATGTGATGTAATCCTGTTGGACCTCAGTAAAGCATTTGATACTGTTTCTCACAGGATGGTTCTGGACAAAATGTCCAGCCCACAGCTGGATAAACACATTGTGCGATGGGCAAACAACTGGCTCATGAGTCAAGTGCAAAGGGTTATAGTGACTGGGATGACATCAGGCTGGTGACCTGTCATGACTAGGGTTCCGCAGGGCTCCATCTCAGATAGGGCCAGAGCTCTTTAACAGCTTCATAAATGACTTGTAACCTTGCTGACATTTGTAACCTTGCTGAGGATACTAAACTGGGAAGAGCTGCCCACACCCTGGAAGGCACAGCGGCGCTGCAAAAGGACTGTGACAATCAGAGGGCTGGGCAATCACAGACCATATGAAGTTCAATAAAGACAAGCAGCCTATTCTGAACCTGGGACAGGGTGACTCTGCATGTATGGACAGACAAGGGAACAAAAGGCTGGAGAACAGTGCTGCAGAAAGGGACCTGGGGGTCCTGGCTGATGGCAAGCTGAATATGAGCCAGCAGTGCCCTGGCAGCCAGGAAGGCCAGCTATGTCCTTGGGGGTATCTGGGAGCATCGTGGGGAGCTGGGCCACAGAAGGGATTGTCCTGCTCTGCTCTGCACTGGGGCTGCTTCACTTCAGGTCCTGGGGACAGTTTGGGACACCACAATATAAGAAAGATCCAAAGCTATTAGGGAGTGTCCAAAGGAGCTTACAGAGATGGGGGCCATACAAGGAGTGGCTGAGGTCACTTGGCTTGTTCAGCCTAGAGAAGAGGAGACAGAGGGGAGACTCCCTAGAAGTCCATAACTTCCTCACAAGGGCAGCAGAGGGACAGCTCTGCTCTCTGCTCTCTGTGACCAGTGACAGGGTCCTGAGGGAATGTCTAGGGCTGTGTCAGTAGAGGTTCTGGCTGGATGTCAGGGAAATGTTCTTCCCCAGAGGGTGATCAGGCACTGAAACAGGCTCTCAAGGGCAGTGGTCATAGCCCTAAACCTGCCAGAGCTCAAGGAGCGTCAGGACAACACTGGTGGGATTCTGGTGGCTGCTCTGTGCAGGAGTTGGACTTTGTGAATCTCTTACAACTGAGGATATTCGATGATTCTATTAAAAAAAAAAAACTCAAAATCTGTGACACTTACCAGCTAAAGATTCTCAACCTTCAAATGACAAGACGAGAAAGATGAGCATTCAAGAGGCAAAGAAATATCAGATGAATATTTTACGTGTTGTACACAAGAATAAGTGGAAACAACTTTTAAAATCCTCTGCAGAACAAACACCTATAGCATTTTAGTACAGAAAGGCAGTGCTTAAGAAAACAGTTACCCATAATGTCTCTGGGTCTTGAGACAGCTCAAACTTTGTAGATACCAATAAGCAAAGCTGCCTCTAAAATGAATTCCCATGGAATGTGAAACAGATACATGGGCTATAGTCAAATGCTCAGTCTTAACTGAATGTAATTAATATTACATTTTAAACAGTGCAAAAATCAAATTAATAAAATTAGTTAATTTGAAGCTTCTTTGTCGAAGAGGACAGAGACAAACTCTTCTTCTCATTGACAGTTTTAAACAGATTTTCTAAACTTCATTTTTCACAAAAACCAATTCCATCATGTCTTAAATAAACTTGAAACAAAATTTAAACACTTCTGAGCAGAAGGTGCTACTTAAACCCTATAGCACCACATTAAATTATGACTGACACCTACTAAAATAAAAAAAATATTTGCTTTCTCTGAGACAACTGAAACTACGGAAAGCCTCCAACCATGTCATATAATGAGAATGTTAGCACAGTAAACAAAGTCTTCAGAGCAGGCTGAGCTCAGATGTACCTCTGTCTAATCTAATTCCAAGTCTGTGTGACCAAATCTTTAAGGACTGCTGCACAAGATCAATCCAAAGATCAGTTAGTTCCATACTTTATATCCAATAGTGGTCAGTGGGAAGAAGGGTAACACAGCAAGCTCACAGCAACTGATCCTGTTCTGGTAGTGTCACCCAGGACACACAGCTTACTGAGCAGAAGATCTGTGACTTACAGCTTTCTAAGATTACTTGAATTTCCGCCACTTTTATTTTTCTGTGTCAAAAGAAACTACCTCCCACAGAAGAAGAATGTACTAGATGCTGAGATTAGCTCATTTGGTTAGAGCATGGTATAGCTTATAACACTAAGGCTGTGAGTTCTATCCCTGTACAGACAATTCACTTAAGAGTTGGACTCAATGTACTTGTGCGTTGTGGACTCGTGAGTCCCTTCCAACCCAGAATATTCCAAGATTCTGTGAAGCTGTACTGAGACAGATCAAAGGTCAACACCAAAATGTCTAGGGAACAGCAGAAGCTGAAAAAGTGTCTTTATGGACTTTGGAAACAGAAGGTGTGTTTGTTGCACCTAAAGACCCTCAAGTGTTTTCCTTCATTTGCTTTCTAAACTCATGTAATGTTCCAGAATCCAGTACATCCCACAGCAATGAATGTCACAGTTTATAACTACCACTATGCTTACTTGTTTCCCATTCATCATCTTCAAGCCAGTAATACCTCCACAGGCTCCTCTTTTCTCTCCCCTCTTTCAAGGGAGACACTTCTTTTCCAGGGTAAAGAGTCCTCATCCATTTAACTGCTCCATGTGTAGAAATCAGTCATTCCTCTGCTCATGACAACCGTCTTTGCCTGCATTATTCTCCAGCTCCACAAGCCACTTTCCCTCTTTGGGATAGAGCGAAATACCTTAACATCACACAGTAGACCAGAAGCAGAAGCAACACAAGCTTTAAAGTCTGTCCTATCTTCCTTGCATCCTTTCTCTATAGCTAAACACTGAGCTCAGGGTTTCAGATTAATACTCAAAAAAGCTGTGATCCTCAAGTGGCACCAGGTCCAGGACACACCCAGACTCTACAAGATCAACTGTAATCTGTTTCTAAAGATGAGGTGCAGGGGACTGAAACCCTCTGAGAAGTCCAGTGCTCCAGGCCCCTGTGGTTAGGACGGCAAATCCTCTGCTAAATGTGGGATAAACAGAAAAACACATCTTCATGAACTGTCAGCAGTATTTAGATGAAGAAAATGAGATTTCTGTCATTCTATAGAATCACGTTAAAATGTGGATGAGGCTGACTACCTTCAACTCATGCACATTTGGGAAACGCCTGGATTTGTTAGCACGAGCGGGTGGAAGGCATGCGTGCGTTTGGCAACGCTGACTCGCGTCCTCAAAGTTACCCGAGAACAGCACCGCAAGGTGAGCCCAGGGAAGCTGCTCCCGGCAGCCGCCTCCGCCGCCGCTCCCGGTGCTGGGGCTGACAGGGGGAGCAGGGGCGGGGGCCGCGCTCACCTGCACGATGAGCGGGCGGTCCTCGGGACAGGCCTCGTCGTAAAGGTTCTCGCGGCGGTAGTTGGCGTCCCTGAGGAAGACCTGGGCGTGCAGCATCGGTGTGTAGCAGAGTTGGGCGCCGTGGCGGCGGCTCAACAGCCTCCAGGCCAGCTCGCTCTGGTCCACCATGGGCGCCACCACGTAGTGGGCGCTCCGCAGCGTCTCCCTCCAGAAGGCTTCCCCGCGCAGCTTCGGCATCTCCCGCTTGCTCGCCCGTGCAGCGCTGCGGCCGCTGGCGGCCCGCGCCGCCGCCCCGGGGCTCGCGGCCTGAGGCCCGCAGGCTGCCGCGACCGCTGCGCCCGGGCCGGGCACCGGCGCAGCCGGACGGTGCCACCGCCATCTCGCTCCGGCCGGCTCAGCGGTGCAGCCGCGCGCCGTCCCCTCCAGAAACCGCGGCGCTGCCAGCAGGGGCCGCGCGCGGGAGAGGCGCAGCGGCCGCGGGGCCCCGAGCTGCCCGGGGCGGCTGAGGAGCAGCAAAGGGGCGGCTGAGGGGTGCTGAGGAGACGTTAGGGGGCGGCTGAGGAGCAGCAAAGGGGCGGCTGAGGGGTGCTGAGGAGACGTTAGGGGGCGGCTGAGGGGCGACTGAGGAGCCACAGAGAGGCTGCTGAGGAGCCGCAAAAGGGCGGCTGAGGAGCCGCAGAGGGGCGGCTGAGGAGAGGCTAGGGGGCGGCTGACGGGCGGCTGCGGAGCCGCAGAGGGGCGGCTGAGGGGCGGCTGCGGAGCCGCAGAGGGGCGGCTGAGGAGAGGTTAGGGGGCGGCTGAGGGGCGGCTGAGGAGCCGCAGAGGGGCGGCTGAGGAGAGGTTAGGGGGCGGCTGAGGAGCCGCAGAGGGGCGGCTGAGGAGAGGCTAGGGGGCGGCTGACGGGCGGCTGAGGAGCCGCATGGGAGCGGCTGCCGGGGCGCCGTGCGCGGGCGGTCTCCCCTCAGGTGCCGCGGCGGCGCACGGCGCCCCGGCGCTCGGCCGGTATACGCCACGCGCAGGGCGGCAGCAACTCCCGTCCTTTGTCCCCGAGCCTAAGCCAGGCGTCTTTGAGCTCTTGGGCCTTCGCCGCAGCCGATGAGAAGCGCCGTGACTGAGCATTGCAAGAGCTGGGACAAAGTGCGAGGCCTTTCCTGTCCTTGGTGTCGGATGGTCGGGGCAGAGAGGTGAAAATGGTCCACATGACTGAACCAAATGTAACATCATCCATGGCAATATCGTTCATTTTGCATCATTTTATAAAGCTATTGATCATCACCAGGAGGAGTACAGTGGTGGAGTTCTGCTTCTCTCAGCCAATACCTTCCAGCATATAAAAAATGCTCTCTCTCTACTGCAGTCAAAACAGCAATGTAACTTGAGTTATAGGACTTATTTTCTTCAGGAGAGAAAAACTCCAACAAAATCGTAGCAAAGCACCATAGCCTAAGCAGAGTTACATGTAAACTCCCTTTGCTCAGTAAGCCTGTTAAGTCTATCCATTGACAAACCTTCACATTACAAGTTCATTGTAAAAGCCTGTATTTCCCCCTTTCTCCAGCTTTCTAGCACTCATGGCTGTGATGAACTTGCTGCAATAAATGTTTCAAGCTTCTAATTATTTTTTACCATCTTTCATGACCTCTCTGCAGGCTGAAGAATGAGATTGCTATTTTAAATATACAGCCTCTGCACCCCTGCTATCAGCACTCTCCTATGATGAAACTGCTCCAGGGGTATTTTTTTCTTTCTTTTGACCTGATTTGCAGCCATGATGTCTGGTAACTTGTTTAAGTGCAAAAAAACCAAACACCTACTTCCTATTCTACCTTAAATCTTTTGTGTTTTACTTGACCTCCATCTCAGCACCAGAGAACTTCACTTTCTGGTAGTGCTATTTTATGTAACCAGTTCTATTAAACTGTGGCCCTTCTTGCATTATTTTTACTGCTGTCTTCTGCAAGAGAGCTGTATTTCTTTGCCTTCTATGGTGGTAGACTAGGAAAGGAAAATAATAGCTTTAATACTGGTGACAACATATGCTGTGTACCATACATTCTTGAACTCTTTCTATTGCAGATTTAAGGTACATGGTCCATCATTTCAAAATGGCAATATGCATTTGTGACCCTAAACAGTTCCCCAGTCAGAGAACTGCTCTTCAGTCTTGAGACTGAGATCAGCATGGTTTTAGCCTGTGAGAAGCTATCTGAAAAGGATGGAATGCATCAGCTGACAAGAATCCCCACTTCAGTTTCACAGAAAGGGTAGGAATGAGGGACTTCACTTCTGTCCTTGTCTTCTCAAAACAAGAAACTGCAATATTGGATTTTGCCTTCTGATATTATTCTACATGTCTAATCTGATGGGCCACTGAGAAACAAGCAATACCATCACTAATAAGGTTTTTATTTTTGCACACTGTGTTTAGCAGCCAGTTATAATAATGGGTTACATGGCAGCAGCTCATAATCAGATAATTATGGGGAAAAAAGCCCTCAACATAACAACCTTCTGCTTTTCAAATAACAACCACAAGAACATTAACAGTATATGAGCTGTAAGTTATTCTTCAGCAACTTCTATGATTAAAATTTTCAAGCTCTGCTTAGATGAAACCATACAGATTTGTTTATACAGGGAGCTTATCAAACTCCTGCTTCAACAGATAGGACGGCATTAGTCCTTGCTCCTGCCACACAGTCCATTCAGATGTTACACACATTAGCACAGCACTATTGTACCTGTTTGCTTTACATTTAATCCTTTCTTCCAGTTTTAAATATAACCAACACAAAAGTAAGATTCTTTCCCCTTTTTTTCAGGCTCACTACAACTGCCAGAAGTTAAACCAAACCAACTAGTCCCCACTGGTTTTGTTTTATGTAGTACCCAATGCCAGCAGGTGCAGGGACAGTGGGCAGTAGATGTCATGAAGTCCCATGGTATATGCACACAGCTTACACAGCCACTCCAGTATCAGTATGCAGTATGCCTCACACAGCAGACACTTTCCTCCTTCTGTTACTGTCTAACACTTAGACATCATACCTAAAACTTCAGAGCATTTATAGCCATTGCCTGTCTGACCCTCAGAGAGGCCCTGAGGCAGATGCTATGGTCCCATTTTACAGACAGGGAAACTGAGGCAGGAGTATTAATGGCTTGTCCAACACTGCAAATAGAAGCCCATCTAAAAGTTCCCACTTCAATATTATGGCTGTAAATTGGTTGTATCTAAGGTACCAAAATCATGGCAACAACAAGCCATGCTTCAGAATACTACGCCTTCATTGTTATTATTTTCATCATTATTATTGTTACTATAATTATTTCTATACACTACAAATCAGATATGTTAGCAGCAGTTTTTTTGCTTTATACCAAGAAGTGAGAGACTCCAGATGAAACATGGGATTAAGAAATGATGGTAGGAAAGAATTCAAAACCCAACCAGTGATGAATTCTGTTTAATTCTAGAAAAGCCAAAAAGACACTCTTCAGACCAAAAAGTATTAATTAAAAGAAAAAAAAAAAAAAAGAAAAAAGAACAAGACATTTCAAAATGGTTTAAGCTGACATTATGTTGTTTTATTTCAATTTCACAAAAGAAATATTTTATAAAACTAAAATCAGTTAACCCAGCCACTGTCAACAGAGGGTGGTATAAGCAAAAGACACTAGGTCAGAACCTGCAGTGAAGAGCCATCTGTTCCTGTCACTGGAATGCTCCTGGACCACCAGAATACTTTACTGGGGAATGGAGAGAAGAGGGGTTGTACAGCACTTTGGAGAAGCACAATAGCTCCTCCTAGCTGGTGCTTTGTTGCTACCCAGGTCTCCTCTGTATCATAAGTGTAACAAGGATTTACTGATTTCGGAAAGGACAGATCCAGCATAGCAAAGGCAAGAAATTTTTCAATTCAATTTTATGCAAATTTCCTTTAAAAAGGTACTACTGTATTTTAAAATCAGACCATCAAACTGATTACTTAGCTAACTTATGTGGGATTTCCAGTCTCATTACCGAAAGGAAAATGAATACAAGGCTTAAGCAAGCCCTGTGCTAAATAAAATATATACAGGCCTTGGGCAGATACTTGTATGTTTGCCTGACCTTTGATTATGGGAGAGCAGGATGGGAGGATTTGTTCAGTTATTGTTAAGGAATTCTATTCCCCCCCTCCCCATTCCAAATTTTTCATTGGGTGGCAAGACTGGAGGTGAGAGGGGATAAGGTAAAGCAATAATCTTAATGCTTTACTGAGGTTCTGATAGAGCAGGCCACAGAACCTTGCACAAATATAAACAAATTACCTGCCTAGGGACAGCCTTGCCTGTTTTTATCATGCCCAAGTTATGGCTGTTCAATACAGCAGCATCTGTCAAACAATCCACCCTATATCCCCCAGGCCCCTCTCTCCCCTGAAGAGTACATGATGGCAAGAATCCTTCCTTCTACCTAATGCTTTCTGAAAAGGGCAGGGCAGTGGGAGAAAGAAAAAAACCCCAACAAAACCAACAAGAAATTAGATGATTTCAAAGATGGGCAACTTTCCCTTGTAGAATAAACCTTTCCCTCCAAAAAAGGATGTTTCTTTGCTCCTATAACCCACAATAAATTAAAACCAAGTAAGAAGTCTCTGGTTTGACACAATAAATACTTAGAATATAGCAAATTAAAAAATATAGTTACAAAACCCTCAATGGAATTCTCTTTCTGACCTAAACTGCAGACAGATTCTTCACAGATAAAAAGTATCTCCAAAATCAGCTGCAGCTCCTCTTCTCTCCCTGTTCACTAGGCTTGGTCAACAAGTGCTATCACATACCCTTTGGAATACTGTTAAGACAAAAACAACATAAAGCACAAGAAATCTACTCCTAAATTTGTTTTTTTTTTATACTGCCAAGGGTGTAGGAAGCAACATCTGTGGGGAACCCTCACTGCAGTGCACAGTGACAGAGTCACAGCACTGCAGTTAACATGGACAGGGAGACTAGGGGGAAAAACAGCCATAGGAAAGGAAGGAGATAGAACCCATAAATGTAGGAAAAGGAAAAGATAAGCAAGAAAGAAACAGAAAAAGACCAATTGAGTCCAGCTGGATTTCCCAGTTCTGGCAGCAGAGCAGATGAGATGTTGAACAGGAAGAGTTCCTTGGGGCCTGTCATAACTAGGAATGTTGTTGGCATTTTCTTCATCACTGATAGTGAGGAAGTAGAAGTTAACCCTCTCTGACACTGACACGTGGCTCTGCCAGTGAGCTGTGGATGATCCCAATAATTGATTCAACACCATCTCCCTCCAGCAAGGTGCGGTGATCTCCTTCAAC